CATTGGATGGCAGGCGTCGCCGATCAAGGCTACGGAGCCCTTGATCCAGGTCTTGAGCGGCGGGTGCAGACACAGCTTCCATTCGAGCACCTCGTCGTCCTGGACCATGTCGATGAGTTTGGTGACGCGGCGGTCCCAGCCGCGGTAGTGGTCGATCATGCTCTGCTTCGAGCCCTTGGTTGTCCACGACTCCTCGACGTCGTGCTGGTCCGGGTGCAGGAGGACGATGTTGTACAGCTCGTGGTTGCGGACCGGGTAGGCGATGATGTGGCGGTGGGGTCCGATCCAGCGGGTGGCCTGGGGCTCGTCGATGAGGTCGCGCAGCTCCGGGTCGCTCTCCATCGCGCCGCGCGGGAGCATGATGCGGTACGCGGCGTCGCCGGTGGGGACGGCCTTGGTGGCGGCGTCGCCGAGGAGCTGGTCCCGGATGACGGACTTGATTCCGTCGGCAGCGATGACGACGTCGCCGTGTACGACGGTGCCGTCGGCCAAGGTGACGGAGGGAGGGCTGAAGGACACGTTGGTGACGGTGGAGTTGACACGCAGGTCGACGTTCGCCAGCGCCAGGGCCTTCTCGATGAGGGCATCGTGGAGGTCAGCACGGTGGACGACGACTTGCTGGCCGTAGGTCTTGTTCACGGGCATCGTGCCGAGAAGACTCCCGTCCTGCCACCGGCGGATATGGATCTGTTCCAAGGCAATGTCCTTGGCGTGTACCAGCGGGGATACGCCCCATCCTGTGGTGAGTCGGTCAGCGGATGTTTTTTTTTTTTTTTTTTGCTCAGAAAGGAGGCCAGGATTCCCTCACTATCGAATAGTGTCAGCATGTTGGGAGAGCCCTGGATACCAGCTCCAACTTCCATGAGCTATATATACAGGTTAGCTGAGGTCGTTGCTCCCGCAGCGAGTGACGACGACATACCTTCGGCGCTGCTTCGAGAATCACAACATGATGTCCTCGTTGACCTAGCGTCAATGCTGCGGCCATACCACCGAGACCTACACCGTCAGCTGTCAGCTGGCAGCACGCCTATTTGGAGGAGTCCAAGCATACCGGCACTATTCAAGAATCAGCGTTCAAGTTCCCTTGACATCATGCGCCAAATTGGATCCCAGCACCTACCCAACAATGACCACCTTGAGAGGTGTCTTCGCCCGCGACGCAATCATGGCGATGAACGATATAGATCTGCAGCCGTCTTGATACGAAGGTTCAACCAACAATGAGATGCACGGAACGGATCAACGTGATATCAGGCTAAAAGAAAAAGACCGCTGCCAGACAAAGATAACCTTGTCACTCTGGCCCCGAATTATCAAGAACACAAGCGCAGCTTGGAAACAACGGCGGACGAAGGATTATATCTATTCTTTTGATGGGAGAACCGGCTATGTAACCATCGTGGCCAATCTCGATGCAAACGAGGTTCCCCACAGCACGATGACCACAGGAAGGGACTATCATTACTCTCTAATCAGTCATCACTCACTCATTCTTCCCTCGCGGCCGGCTTAATCGTCTGAAATATCCCCCTGTTGACTTATGCGGGGCTCGGCGGATCCTTTAGTAGGATTAAGGATTCAAGGAAAAGCGCGATCTCGACAGAGAGTTAAAAAAAAAAAAAAAAAAGTAATAATAGCAAACTCCTTCCCTCCATTAGGCATCCCGACGTGAATATTGAATATTGGCTCCCTAGTCACATCTAGCAATCTATCTATTTAGTGAGCGCATTCCCGCTTCCAGTCGTCGCCGTTGCGCGGGTCAAGCCCTCCCCGGCTTTGCGCAACGGCCACATTTGCCGAAACGCGGTCCTCAGGTTGTCTCATAGGGCAGGGGAGAGAGAGAAGAACTGAAATCTCCCCAGACCCCGTATGGAGAGAGGGCCATTCATACTGCATAGATAGTCCAACAATAATAATGTCGATGTACTCCGTACTCCCTGTCTCCCTTCCCCTGAGGCCCAGTGGCCCACATGGCCACAGCACGCAAACTCGGCTTCCTTGGAGAATGGAGCGTTAGGCTAACCTGCACTGCACACCCCCACGGCAAACGGTTTGCTGGCGCATTGTCGATAGGAGTGTTCCTCTGCAGATGGACCACACTCGTTGTCTTAAGCTACAAGGTAATTATTCATTAGTTAGATAGACTACTCCGTAGATAGTTGACAAGGTTGCTGGCCAGACGACAGACGACTTCGTAGGTAGACAGATGTGGGATGACTCTTTTTTTTTTTTTTTTTTTTTTTTTTTTTGCCCCCTCAGTGTCTAACGTGAAACTGGGCTAATCATAGTCATCCAGTTAGTTAACTAGCTATTATTTTGAAATTGTCCTGATTGCATTGCTGTCTATCTACGGAGTACTCCGTATCACCAATGGTGGCTTCTTTTCCCCCTGCCGAAAAGATGTTCATTCTCTCCAGATACCCTACCTACACTAACTAAGCCAGCGATCGTAACTATTGTATCAAGTTGAAAAACAATGGATCAAAATGTCTCACCAACTCTTATCTCACCATCTCGACATGGATATCGATGTTGAAGCACGCAACGCACGATATGCTCCAGGATTTCCCACCTTCCTCCCCCCGCAGGTGGTCTATTCGGGGCACTTTGCGGCGTTGCGCATGCGGCATGCAGTGGGTTGTGGGACACGATGCAGACACAATAGATATTAGAGATAATATCGATAAGGTTAAGGGCCTGCTGACGATCGGTGTTAGACTCGGCCTTTTTCAGCCCCGTCGGCACTTGATGGGTTGCTGGAGGCCCGAAGAGATGAGATCTCATGGGAAGGCATGGTGCGAGTGGAGTTTCTGCTTTCTGGCCGTGAGGTGGGATGGTCTGATGAGGGTTTCTTTTCCCTTTTCTGGGTCTTTGGAATGTGGATGTGGATGTGGATGTGGATGTTCTTTTGTCATTTAATAATCAGTATCTATCAGATCGTGCCGTCGTGCTTGCGAAGATGTGGATAACATAGGCAAGTATATGTTGATGCTCTGCTGGACACACAGTCTGATGCAAAGTAAAGATCTAGTCTAACTCGGTGGCTACCTCCTAATGCATTGAAAGGAAGGGAATATGGATGGGACGGATCTCTCGAGTGCAAAACGCAGGACACATGCTCATCAATAACAGTCGGAAAAAAAAATTGTAGTACCCGTTCAAACGCCTGAACTATGCAATGACCAAGATTCATTATTGGAGAGAGCGCAAAAAAATAATAAAACCGCCATGAGGGAAGGAAAGAGAAAGGGTTCAGAATACTCAAGATAGGAATGGGAGAAGAAAAGAAGAAAAAGGAAGAAAATAGGGGGGGGGGGGGGGAACAGCGACAAACCTCCCCTATAGACATTCTGGACGCAGGTCTTCGAGATCATGAATGTACAATAACATACAATGGCAAGTGCCGTAGGGAGAAGAATGGAGGAGAAACTCAAGCAGTGAACATCAAGCGCAATCGACTGGACCGCTTTTTCTTCTCCTTGGGTTTTTTGTCTCGGTCTGAATGGCGCGATTCCGCCTTGGATGGGGCTCTCGACGGTGCTTTCGAGGGGGCCTTGGAGAAGGCGTTGGACGGCGCTCGCGAAGGGGCCACTGACGGTGCCTTGGAGCCTGCATACGACTCGGTTCGCGCGTCAACATCATAGTGGTGCTGACGAGAGCTACTTCTTGGAGCCCGGGACCGACGGGACCGACGGGACGATGCGACGGACTCCTCCTCGTTGAATTTGAACCGGGGATCGCGCATCATGCGCGCCGTCGTGATATCAATCCCGGACATGGCGGCGGCCGTCGGGGTGATGAATTCACCATCAACAGAAGTGCCCAGGCTGCCTGCTTCGGCGTCAGCGACCCCACGCCGCCACATTTCCACTCCGCTGAGGCAATCTGTATCGAACTCGATCATCTCCTCCATGACAACGGTTTGCTCGTCTTCTTCTGGGCCGCGGCTCACTTCGTTGCCCCCGATGCCAGTGGCGGACGAGATCTGTTTGATAATCTTGTAACCACCGAACATGACAATCGTGACCCCGAGACCAACGCCAGCGGCAATCAAGAACTGCGGGCTCGCCAGCAGGGCAAAAATCGTGGGAGCGGCTGATTTAAGAACCGACAATGCGGCGGGCGCCATCTTCGTGGCCAGGTTGCTGATTTCGGCCAAGGTCAGCGCGACAGCAGCCATAGCGTCCGGATTCTTCTGGAGGTGGGCAATGGTGGCAGTGGCGGTGTGATGCACGCAGTTGGCTTCCTCCAGAAGCCATTGGGCGCGGCCCACCAGGCCATTGAGTTCGGGATCCTCGATTCGCTGGAGCTGCTGCTGCTGAGGGGATGGACCCTTGGTCATGGCTGAAGGATGAAACTCGCCATATGCCAGGTCTAGATCGATATGGGCCTCTGACTTGGAGCGATTCGCCGGCGGTCGTGGCTCGGGTTCCCTTACGGTCAGATCATGATGGGTGTGACGCCGCACCATATCCGAGGGTGGGGCATAGAACGAATCTGGGCGCGAGGCTACCGACTGCCGATCCTGTTCGTAGTGTTGCTCATACTGCGGTTCGTCCTGTGGTTCATACTGCGATCCATACTGCGAGGGTGGTCGATGATGCCGATGATGTTGACTCCGGCCCGAGTGGTGTCGCGAGTGGGTGCTTCTACTTCGGCGAGAGGGGGCGACCGATGGTGCATCGTCGATATGATAGTTCTGCAATGCCCTCAGAGCTTCTCGTTCCGCGATCTTGGCATTGCGTTCAGATTGAACCTGCGCTTTGCGTTCGCGATAGGCATTTTTGGCGTGACTGAAGACACCAAATAGATGTTTACTCTGTCATGACGACCAATCAATTTGGGCTTCACCCCATTGAGAACGATGGGGACATACCGTGCTTACTACCTTGCCGGATTTGTCGATCACAGCAATTGTCTCGCCAAAAGGAGACATGATGATGGATCCAGCGTGTTGAGAATGACACTCTTTCAATGATTGAGATCACCTCTTATTTTCGTTCGATATTGCCGACACGACCGTCAGCTGCCGGGAACCATCGATCTGAACAAAGGACGATATATAGACGGTCGGAAATCAGCAGGGACTCCAGGATGAAGCGGTGTAGCACAGCTTCAATAGGCGTGAATATAGATGATGGCGCGGGTGGAGACTAAAAGGCGTTTCCCTGATCCTTGTTCTAGATCTCCCAGACCCAGGCCTTGGAAGCTATCCCCAGACTTATAACTGAGAGGGTACACAGGCGAATATTGTGGGAGGCGAAATAGAAAAGTGGTGCCTGTTTCGGAGGAAGGATATCTAGATATCCCCAGCTGAGATTGAAATGTTGAATGCAGGAGGAAGCCCCCAGAAAAGTAAGAACAAGGACAATAAATGAGAATAATTAGCCCCGCCTGTGCAGCAAATACGATGACTCTTCGCAAGCAAAGTGAGCCAAGGCCATGAACAACTCAAGACTTGAAGAGGCAATACGGTGGGAGGACAAAAAAGAAAAAAATGAGGGGGCTGGGACGAGCCAACAGATGTCAACGTCTTGATAAATGGGAGAATTAGGCGCCTAAAAAAAGAGCAAAGCAGCGAACAGGATGAGATTCCGTGAGGATTTTCGCCGTGGTTGGGTGTCGATGAAGCTGGCGGGACAAGGCAGAAGAAGAGCTTAGATCTCAGGCGTAGACTGGAGTCTATCTAGTGCTGCTTTCTGGTCTCCAGTTTGGGTTGCAATAAGGGCAGTATCAAATAAGATTATTCCAGTCCTCTAGAAGATCCGTGGAGACGCCGATTTGCTGGCACGCCGCGATCCAACTGCACGACTGCATCATTGTTCAGGGTTGGTTGCGCTACCAGAGACAAGTCGAGCTGGTTGGGTATCAGAACATATGGTTAGATGGTTTAGGACGAGACCGACAGGTTGTTCGTTTCGTCAGTCATACTTGGGAGAATACCATTTCTGTATCTCCTGACTTCATGGGGGAATATGCAGCGATGAATCACGAGCAGCTTCATTCCGATGACGATGAAAAATAATAAGAATAATAATAGACAGGAGAGGATTGAAGGACATCCATCTCCAGGAAGAGAAGAGCGGTGATGCCGTAGACGCTGATTGGCGGAGGGTGCCACCGCCACTGTGGCTGGTGTACTGCCACGATTGTCCAGCCTGTTCTGTATTCATCTGACAATACGCGTAAGTTTCCCAGAGGTATCTCCCTGTCGTCCCCTGTCGTCTGTCAAACTCAACTCCCATGTGCCCACTGCCTCTAGATAACTATCATGATCAGGCATTGGTGTTCCTGTTGATTGATCAACATCCGGGATCTTCCCTTCGGACATTGTTTCAGTTCCTGTGGTTCAGACAGTCGACTAAAGGACAAAGTACTACCCCAGCAGTCCAGCACCTGACCACATGCAACCAGTCTGGAACAAATGGAATCATCCCAACCTACACCGTAACTCACGCGGAGAGACAGAGCGTTCCATTCCTTGTCCATATCTCAGCTAGGGGTAGCATAGATAAGTCGAAGGATCTTCTTTTTATCTCGTCATCTGCAACTTCCACTTCGCCATAATATGTTCTGTGTTCCCTTGAATCTCTTGGGGTTTCGTGTATATATATACCAGACGAGTTCTACTTTGACCACGCTGCTAGTGGTTGGATTTCCTTCGAATTTCAATGTTGTTGTCAATAAACAAGAGTACTGAACGAGAGCCCTCTGAATTGATAAATTATGTCGCAATGCAAGACGAATGTTCTGCTCACACGTCTCTTATGGGAACCCAGGTCAGTTTTACTTCGCATGATATCGGAACTGTACTGCAATACTCACACCGGGAACGATAAAATCTCGGACAAAATGTATCATGAATCGATTATTTACCAGTTCAATCACTGATTCGATCTCTATATGCAGACGGTCATGCTGTCGGGAGAACCGAGAGCGCCTTCGAGGTATGTGAGAGGAACTTGGAGCAGTTTTACTTGGATGGTCTGTTTTTGATGCGTTTTGATGCTTTCCCTGCACCGCCACACCTTCAATCACGACATCACCACCGAAAAAGAAGCAACAAGGAGAGATCTGATCGCTCAGCTCTCTTGTCCAAGAACCAATACCTCGATTTTGTTTTTGTCCTTGCTTAACTGTACTATTTGCTGTCCGAATCATCGTCTTTGTATGTATTTACAGCGTGATTGCTGAAGTGACTTGCCTTTGAAAGATTCCAAGTTTGTCGGCAAAAAAGAAAGAGAGAGAGCATCACGTGGACAAGACAGAACCATCGGTTTCTCCTTCTTCCTACCTATCCAAGGACCACAGAACGCTTGAATTTCCAAACAGGAACGATTGGCTGAGACTTTATTGGTTAATTGTGCGCCAGCGATGGACAGCACAGCACAAGGCAGACCCCTCGGTTCAACGGGAATCGATGAGCAGAAGATCCTCGAGTCGGAGTCCCGTCCCGTGACTCATGAGTCCTCCGATAATGACTTGACACATCTCCATCCGCAGCTGGAATGCGGCATTGGACATCGAATGCAAGCCAGTCGGTCGGTCTTGGCCTTGGTTCTGGATGACGAGTGTGTCTTTGCCGGTTTGCAAGGAGGAGACATTGTGGTACGCTACTTTGCCCTTCCAAAAAAAAAAAAAAGAAATATTGGCAAGCAGATGCTGAAAACTACTTAGGCATGGTCACTTGAAACGTACGATCTCGTGCTCTCTGTGCACGCCCACCAGGAGAGCGTACTGGGCCTCTATCTGTCCGAGGATGGTGACCTGCTCTTCTCCAGCGGCGGAGATTCCGTCATCAACGTAACCTATTCCCGAACCTCTCTGTTCAAAATTTAGCTGATGTGATTCTTCTCAGATCTGGTCTACAAGGACGTTTGATCGACTTTACTCGATTCACTCCCATCATGATGTGGGGGATATCTTCTCCGTGGCATACTCGCCTAGTTTGAAGACCATCTACTGCGGAGGTCAGAATACCAGTATCCAGGTATGCCTTCCTTTCCACCAATCATGACTTTGAAGCTGCCATCTTACACCAATAACAGTGGTGCGACATCTCCGAGAAAGATGCAGTATCAAACCATCAGTCGGCCGCGCATCTATCGAAACGAACCCATCGGTTTTTCGATTCACGCGGACCCGACGGGACACGCGCGCCGCGGCCCGACGCGGGCGCTGACGGTGTCCGCACAGTCATTGAGGGAGGTCAGGTCCTGACCTTTAAGCGCGACCAGCACAAACTCTTTTCCCACCATGGCTACATCTACACGATGCTCCTGGTCCGGGGGTTGCTGGAGTCATCGCCCACAGAAGAGGTGCTGGTGACGGGTGCCGGTGACGGAGTCGTCAAGTTGTGGCGTTTGGATCAGTCTAAAGCACCTACGGAAATGGCTGCCCTCGAGAATGGCGACCCAGTTCTCAAGCTTGCCGTAGACGGATCATTCCTCTACTGCGGTCTGGCTGGGGGCGCGCTGAACATCTGGAACTTGGATTCCTACCAGTTGGTCAAGCGCATCAAAACCCATACCGGTGATCTGTGGGCTGTCGACATTGTCCAGGGCATGGTGGTCTGTGGTGACTCGAATGGAGTCGTCAGGGTATGTGCTTTCGTTTTCGATGCTTGCGGTCGTGTCTAATGTGTGCTGGATCGGTAGAAATTCAACTCGCGGTTTGAAGAAGTGGGCAGCTGGGTTGCCCACGAAGGAACCATGTTAGCATCCGCAGCTGGTCGGTTCAAGGGTCGTCTCATCTATGCCAGTGGAGGCAATGACAACACCGTTGGCATCTGGGATTTGACTGAGGCGTCAAGCACGCAGAAGGAGCTCGCACTGATTGACAACGGTCAGTTGGATATTTTCTGTAAATTGAGGGTTTTGGTTGCTAACAATGCGTCCAGATGAAATGGTGAATTGCCTTGCCCGATTCGTTGCCTTCAAGACTGTTTCTGCCAGTCCGAAGTTTTCTGGGGAGTGCAATCAAGGAGCAGCATTTCTACGGCGACATTGCATCTATCTCGGAGCCAGAACCAAGCTGTTGCCCACGGGACAAGAGACAAACCCCATTGTCTACGCGCGATTCAGTGCCAATTCTCCGAATAAGGTTGACAAGACCATTCTGTTTTATGGGCACTACGACGTTGTGGGTGCCGATGCTAATCGAACCAAGTGGACTACCGACCCTTATCAACTTTCATCCATCGATGGATTCCTGTATGGCCGTGGAGTATCAGATAACAAAGGCCCCATTCTGGCGGCATTGTATGCAGCCGCGGACCTTGCGCGACAGAAGGCGCTGCCGTGCGATGTTGTGTTCCTGATCGAGGGCGAGGAGGAGTCCGGTTCCCAGGGCTTCCATGAAACAGTCCGACAACACAAACCGGAAATCGGACCCGTCGACTGGATCCTGTTGGCCAACAGTTACTGGCTGGACGACTATAATCCCTGTCTGACGTACGGCCTGCGGGGTGTCGTGCATGCGAATCTGATCGTCACGAGTGATCATCCGGATCTGCACAGCGGTATCGACGGAAGTGCACTGCTCGATGAACCCTTGAAAGATCTGTCGATGCTCTTGGCTACCCTCGTGGGCCGCAAAGGCCGAATCAACATCCCAGGCTTCCATGACCTTGTCCTGCCCCTGACGGAGGCCGAACAGCAGCGATTTGCCGACGTAGCGAAGGTCCTGTTGCCGCGGCACCCGGAAATCACCGATAGCGAAGCACTGATCAACTCCCTGATGCATCGTTGGCGGGAACCATCGCTCACAATCCACTCGGTCGAAGTCCCCGGAAGCAGCAAGAGCTCGACGACCACCATCTCGCGCAAAGCCAAAGCAAGCCTGTCCATTCGAGTCGTCCCGAATCAAGAAGCCGACGAGGTGGCTGCGAACCTGACCATGTACGCGCAGGAGCAGTTTGATAAGCTGGAGTCGCAGAATGACCTGACGGTGGAAATCACTGGCAAGTCGGATCCCTGGTTGGGCGATCCGGACAACGAGATCTTTGAGACGCTCTCCGAAGCGATCACCGTGGCCTGGAGCCCGGACCATCAGTTCCAGAAACACCAGTACCCGCCCATCCAACGCACTGTGCAGGAGCGCAACAGCTCTCGCCGGCGGGACACGTCGGGGCTTGCTCGCAACGACTCTTCGGACAGCCTGGCCTCACATATCGACCGCATCATCATGTCGACCACGACCTCTTCCGCCGGCAAGGACAAGGCGCGTCAACGCTCCGTGCTCAGCAAGACCGTTCCCACCTCCTCAACGTTGACAAACAAGTCCAGCACGATCGTCTCCCCAGGTGCGACCGACGACGCCTCATCCGATGCGAGGTCGGCCATTCCAGCCACGGCCACGGCTACCGGTGATGCTCCGCCCACTGCTCGCTCGACAGTACAGCCCATCTTCATCCGCGAGGGCGGATCCATCCCTACAATCCGCTTCCTTGAGAAGGAATTCTCAGCCCCGGCAGCCAATCTCCCCTGCGGACAGGCCAGTGACAACGCGCATCTGTACAATGAGCGATTGCGGGTAGAGAATCTGTACAAGAGCCGAGAGATCTTCCAGTATGTATTTTCGCGGTTGCCAGAGAAGGGGCGTTCTTCCTAGTTTTAGCTTGACAAACATATACCTTTGTTGTCTGCATCGTTTCAATACTATAATCCATAGTACACACCGCTCAGTCTAGCTCTCGTCTCCACCCCCTCACGATCATCACATAATCATCAGACAACTTCGTACTTCGGCACATACTCAACCATCAGCCCACTGATGTACTTGGGAACTTGCATATGCACGGCACGGCACCCGGCAACAACACTGAAGAGTCCAAAGACGAATCATAGTCCGAGATGGCGTAGCCTCGAGCTCCACTGGTCGGTGCGGAAGGAATGAGGATTCTCGTCCTCAAGTCGACAGACTAGACGACTCTTTCTTCTGCAGACGGAGTGCAACAGCCGGCTTACCCGTGATAAACTGGGTTTAGCCAATGGAAACTGTCCGCGTGGATGAATTCTGTAGAGACTAGGCCTAGAAGAGTATGTATACTGGGTTTGAGGAGAGTTTTGATGATATGGGAGGAGGAATTGGGGGCATTGTTAAGGAGAAGAAGATTGAGGTTGTTGTCGGGACTTTGTCCATGGCCATCACGTGTTACTGACAATCACAATCGTCCTTGTTCTGTCCTCATTTCTCATTTCATCATGTCCATCAATCATGATGGCATCAGGAGCATCTCCACCTCTCGCTGTATCCCAAGTCAGGATCCCTACCTGAACTGGATTCCTGCAGGACATATGTCGATCCAACCCGGTGGATTGGAACAATCAACTGCCAAACGACTGCACTAACAGGGGGTATCTATTTACTTCCGACAGTGACGTCCAAGCAGACCAGAAAGTATCCGAGAATGGAGCCCACGCTACACAGACTACTCCCCATTGTTCAAAGCCAAAAGTCTGCAGAAGTGAAGTGAGTCTTGCAACTGCAAGAAGATCTGATCCCGCCCCAATGCCCAGGCTCGTGGGCCGTGCTAACTTCCCTCCTGAGCGCACTGCATCCACTCCCCGAGGCTAGTGAGGCCGGCCAGAGTCTGTTTTAGGGTGGATTAGGGATGTATGCCCATAGTTGGCTGGGTCCAGGTGCCCAGTGCCCAGTGCCCAGTGCCCAGGATGCCATGATGTGGATCCTGCCATGATAGATAGGGTAGTCTGATCCCGGAGACGACTCTGGTTACTGTGTGGCTCAAGCTTTAGAGGGAGCACAGCCAGACTACTTATGCCTGTGAATGCCTACGCGGAACTTCTCCTTCCGTTAATGATTGGCAGTTGTAATGTCATGATGGCAGTAGTACTGACACTGAATGGCATGGCTGCTGCTACTCTTTGCCCTCACCATCCACCTTTGACAGCTTCATAATATTGATACCTGTCGTTCTCGCTTTTGTCAGTCGCCTGGCAGTATCAACCATTGACTCCATATACATGCACCATGGGCTCCCCCGACGAAGCATATCTCCTCAGCCGTGATGCGGAAGAGTCAAAACGGTATGCCATTCTGGTTCTCCTCCGGACAAACATCGACTGAGTGCTCTGCAGACTCAACGCCCAGCATGTCTTCCTAGTAGATGTCATCGGAGGCACACCAATCCACCCATCCATTCCGACAGAGAACATTCAGACCATTGCAGATGCAGGCACAGGCACCGGGTGCGCCTCGCCCCCACGCCCCTCTTCCTCTTCGCGTCGTTTTCTAATTCTGACCGCAGTATCTGGCTCGTCGACGTCGCAACCACACTCAACAAGCTCCACCCACAGCGCGAAACCAAACTCGACCTCCACGGCTTCGATATCTCGCCCGCCCAGTTCCCGTTCACCAAACTGCGCGAACCGCGCCATGAAATCCGTCTCTCAGTCCAAGATATCACATGCCCGTTTCCAAAGGAGTACCACAACCGCTTCGATCTCGTGCACGTCCGGCTACTCGCCGGCGCAATGAAAGAGGCAGACTACCCCGCAACGGTGCGAAACCTCTACAATATCCTCAGTGCGTTCCCCACTCCCCTCCAGCCCGCTCCGCCCCGCCCCGCCCCGCCAGCTAACACCCACACCCCCCATCCACAGAACCCGGCGGCCACCTGCAATGGGACGACTGCGACACCACCGCCTTCACCACCACAAACCCGACCCCGACCGCCCTCGAAATGGCCCGCGTTGTCGTCGACGCCGTCCACAAGCTCGGCCTCTGCGCCTCCGCGCCCCAGCTCGTCCACGCCCTCGCGCAGCAGACCGGCTTCGTCGACACACGCCTCTACCCGCACAGCACCGCGAACCGGCCGCGGCTGCATGCGCCGGCGCGCGCGTGGCTGATGCAGGCGTGTCGCGCGCTCATGCCGCATGCGATGGTCAAGTCCGGGGAGGCGGGGGATGAGAAGTGGGCGGTTGCGCGCGCGGAGCGCCTGGTTGCGGAGTTTGGGGAGCAGTGTGCGGGGTCGGTGCCGTTGGTGAATTTGTATGCTGTTGTGGCGAGGAAGCCGGGGGGGAAGGAAGAGCCGGGGGCGTGGACGTGGGGGTGTGGGTGTGCAATCATGTAGTGACTTAAAAGTGGATCTTGATGTTAATGTTGGTGTTGATGTTGGTGTTGAGGTGGGGGGGTGGAGTTGATGAGCTGTGCCAATTTCTTGTATAAGATAGATAGCTACATAGCTAGATACACGGTGTGTCATTTACCATATTCGCTTCGCGACCATCTCATACCGCTGCACGTGGTCCATTGACGGCTCGCCTTCCTTCTCCTTCCCTTTTTCCTCCCGCGCCTTCAGCCGCCGCAACGCCTCCGGGTCATCCGCGTAGATCCACCGGCGCTTGTCGTCGTTGACCTCGACGACGCCCCACCCGCCTACCCGCCGACTCCCTTCGACGACGAAACCGCGGCCACGGGAGCCAGAGCTCACGGTGCCGTTTGTCTCGGCAGCAGCAGCGGGAGCGGCGAAAGAATGCCCCATCTCGCGCGCCTTCATGGCCTTGTAGCGCGAGCGCGCGTACGCCAGCAGCAGCATGCCGAGGAGCAGCTTAAGGATGAGCAGGAGGATGAACGCGGTGAGGATGAGGACGATGGTGAAGATGTAGACGGATTGGGCGGGCGAGGGCATGGCGTTGGCGAGGATGCGGCGGAAGATGGCGCTGGCGTGCGCGGCGGAGACGGGGAGGATGGTGCGCAGGGTGAGCGAGGTTGCGGATGGGATCGGAGACGGCACGTAGTGGCTGTGGATGGAGGCGAGGGAGGTCGACTGGACGGCTGTCGACGAGGGCTGGTGTGGGAGCAGCGCGGCCAGGAACATCTGGTACGTCTGGACGGAGACGCGGAAGAAGAGGCAGGACAGCGGGATCACGGGGAGGCCGAGCCGGCGGGTGAGGTTCTGGTCGCCGAATGCGTTGGTGTAGTAGTCCTTGGCCAGGACGTCGAGGAAGCGGCCGTAGATGGCCGGCCGCGTGTTGTTGAACTTGCCGATGTATGCGTGCTTGAGCCAGTCGACCAGCATCTCGGATCCCAGGACCACCAGGAACGGACCCAGCACCTGCGCCAGAGTCGGGAGGAACGAGTTGACCTGACTGAACGAGGAGATGAGCGATGACGGGAAAAAGGTAAACGATCGCGGGAGGATGGAGGCCGACGATCGCGGAGGGGTGGAAAGCGGCGTGCTGTTGGTGCTCGACGACGCAAGACTGCCCAGGCTGGAGCCCAGCGTGCCGATGAAATTGAACGCGCCCGTCTCGACGATGTTGCGCGATGCGATGATGGTGAGCATGAGCCAGAGCTGGAACCGCTCGACCACGTCGGCACATGTGAGCTGGAATAGATTGTCCTTCTCGAACTTCTTGAATACGGTTGACTTGATCTCGACAAACTGATTCGAAAGAAGAAGGGTAATCAACGCGTTCGAGTACGAATTGACCGCCACATTCAACGTCATGACCTGGTAGAACAGCGCCGTGGAATGAATCACCGTGTACGCCAGGGCCAGCAAGAAAAGTCCAAACGGGCGGAACACCTTGCTGCGTCCGTCCGGACGACGTTCCAGAGCCTCGCGAGAGAAGAGGCACTCGAGCACATCTTGCCCGATAGCAGCAAACAACCGATCACTTACTTCCAGCACGTTGTAGATCACATAGAGCTTGATGGCCGCCTGGCCTCGGATCCAATGGTACATCCGGCTCGCATCAAAGTACATCAGGACACAGCACGTGGCAATCATGAGCAGTCCCTTGAGGATATCGGCTTTGTCGTCGGGGAGCAGCGCCGACGGGATGGATTTCTGCCGCCGGTGCTGATGCTTGTGCGTATCGGCACGATGGCGTCTGCGCGTTTCTACAACCTTGGACCTAGTCTCTCGCTCCACGGGGTGGTCCTGTTTGTCGGAAACAACACCAGCTTGGGTCCGACTCTCAGACTCGGAGCTTGCCTGAGCCGACTTCGTCCGCCTACGCCATACCCGCCCGACACCCTTGACGACAAAGTCCGCGAGGAACCGCAGCTCCATCCCCAGGTTGACCATCCAAGATTCCAACAGGATATACAAGGCCTTGAAGAACCGCAGAGGAAGGATGGTGAACGAGTAGAGCCACGCATCCAGACACGCCAGGATGCCGAACCACAGCACCCGCTCCAAAGCCGGAGGGAGCATCAAAAAGTTTGACAGCCGCTCGAGTTTGACCCGCGATGATTCGTAGGGGAAATCATTCGTTGCGGACCGGTGGATGTACAACGGCGATGGTCGCCCCGACGCCAGCTCCAGCTGCAAATACGTCGGAACAGACAGCGGAGGGAGCGGGATCGACGTCGGCATCGGCGACGGCAGAGCAGGCTCTGTGATATGCGGCGACGGGCTGAGATGCTGTTTGGATTCCTGCTCCAGACGGCCAATCCCCGGACGGGGGTCGATCTTCGACCGCGCCGCCCACGTCTGCGCCAGCCGCTCGCTGGTCACAGGCAGCGTCTGCCGGCGCGAGGTACTCGGCGTCGACACCGTCCTCGGAGCGGGTGGTCGCGGCCGACCGTTCGCCACGGAGTGTCTCGCGGCGGGAGTCCCCAGTTCGAACCCGCCGTCCACGGCCGGTTCTCTGCCCCGGGCTTTGGCAGCAGTATCCGACGGCAGTCGCGTCTCGTCCACTGAACCAGCGGACTTGGTATGCGTATGCGTATGATCCGACACGACTCGACGGCCAGATTCCTTCTCCCCGGCAGCGCGGTACGGGATCGACTGCGGCGAGGACGTGAGCTCGTGCATCTTGGCCGGCGACAGCTTCGGCACCTCGTGGCTTTTGCCAGGAGACATGTTCATGTTCCCCGACCATCCATTCAACGCGGCGCCGACGCCCTCCGGGCCCTCGAAAACATCCACCAGCGACGTCGACGTCCGGGGGCCGCTGCCCTCGGGATCCGAACCAGCAGACCCGTTCTCAGTGTGGTGGAAGACCATCCCCAGCGTCTGCTGTGTCTGCGTCGGCGAGACGTGGCGAGAATCGTCTGCCTCGGTGCTGCGTAGGCGCAACTCCCTCCAACCAGCCCCATTCGCAGCATCCGACATCGCGGAGCCCGGCTCATTCGAGTAGGTGTCTTCCATCAGTGTGATTTCCGTCCGTCGTATCCCCAGCACCTCGTCCTGCACTTCGTTATCCGTCGCGTGGGAATACCTCTCCGATCGCGGTGTCTTCCCCGTTCCCTCGCCTTGTCCGTTGGATATAGCCAGTCCGTCTACATCCAGCTCTTTGCAATCGCCGTTCATCCCGCGTGTAATATCGTCTTCATCGCCTCGTTGCGGATTCCGTGCACGGGCGGGGCTCAGGATCGGAGAAGGCGGCGTGGACTTGTTGGGCGGTGCGGAGGGAATGGAGCGACGATGGGGGGCCATTGCAGGCAACGGCAACGTGCATTTGCAGAGTAGTAGGAGCTGAGGCCAATTTGCTAATTTAGTGGGGTCCCATTCTGATGTTTTGGTTGTGGTTGTGGTTGTGCTTGAGACCGAGCTTGGAGTCTTGATAACTCAGAGAGGACTGAGAAGTGAGGCTGGGAGAGTGTTGCGGTGTCCAGTTGGGGACCGAACGCTGGTCCGTCCGGGGTTGCGGTTCCACTTTGATGGGGATGAAAACAGCCAGTGTTACATACATATCCTACAGAGGACTAGGTATAGAGAAGATGTATTATTATAATTGCTACGCTAGCAGATGTGTTGTTAGGGAAACTATTAATGTGGTAATATTCGATCTGAACTATCTCAATGGGAGATGCGTACCTATCTATGTCCTGTATGTTATGTCTACCCCAACCCAGGATGGAAGCAAAGCAGCATCAATTCATGGTACATCTCAGAGAAAGGTATCATGGTAGAAGAAAAAGGGGGTATTTTAAGCATCCAAGTTGGTAGAAAGAAGCTCGCTGATCCAGTCATCAATCAATCACAGAAGATAACCAGCTCTTCTGGTGTCGTAACAGAACATAAAATTTCCGCTGCTTCACGTCATGTTGTTTTGTTTACAGGTCCTGGTGACATCGAATCAGGGGTAGTAGGGTCGGTACGGCTGTGCTTGGCCAGCGTAGCCTTGGGGAGGGTATGCTCGCACCGGAGGTGCAGCGCTGCTCCGATCGTTGGGTGGTGTCGCACTGCTAGGTCCACCATATGTGTGGTAGACGGGAGAGTTTGACGGACGAACGCCGGCCGTCAAAGGGCTGGGGGTTATGGAAGATGGTTCATATGCAGCATAGCCGTGTTGCTGGGGGCTCTGCTGCTGGGGCCGGGATGGTGCTCTCTGGGACGCCGGCGAGAAAGCTCTCGCGACGTGATCCCCAGTTGTATTCAGAGCAAGCCGGGGTCGAGTCTGTTCTTGACTCGCGGGAGTGAACGAGCGCAAGGGATAGCCAGACTGTGAGTCGGGAGGTGGATGCGGTGCTCCGCCGTGGCTTTGAGGGGAGAACGCCCGAGCGGGATAGTCCTGGACAGGGAAAATCGCATTTCCTGGCGTCAAAGTACGGGAATAGGGATCCTGTACAGGAGTATATGACTGATATGGGGCTGTGTACTGATTGTTATGAGACAAAGTATCGGTGCTGTAGGGATCAGGATAGCGGCTGGGCACTTCGTCATAGTCATCCTGGTTCATTGTCGGCGCCATATGGTTGGGTGCATGAACCGTCGATGGCGGCGCAGGAGTAAGCGTGGGTCGTGTAGTCGGAGGCCGGCCCATGGGCGTGTAGGAGCGGGCTCCTCCCATCGGCATGGTATGCGGGAGAGGAGGGACCGGTGGCGCGGGTGTGGTCTGACGGTCCAGAGGGCTGTAGGCGGCGACCGCTGTCGACCCAGAGTATGCCGTGGTGTCCGAATGCATTGAGGATTGAGTGACTGTCCGGCTCAAAGGCGGCTTCTCGGTCCATGACATATCTGGCAGGGTTGGTTGGCGCTCAGGTGCCACCGTCCCTGGGCGAGAAGGATACGGCGGCAGCGTAGTCTGGGTTGTGGATCGCGACAGTGTCGTGACCGTCGGGGCCTTAATCTCCGAATTCAAATCCACCACCATAGGCAGGGTCGGTTTTCGATCCAAGCCGAGATTGGGTTGCGTTGGCGTCCGGCTCGGCATGCCCGTGCTCTTCGCCAGTGCTTTGTCAACCTTCCCGCGGACGATTCGCATGAGTCGAGCGTTGATCTTGCGGCGGCAATACGCCCTCAGGGAGCCGTCCTCGGCGGGGATATGGTGGAACAAGAAGATCAGGTAGAGAACCACAGCCAGGGCCAGCTTCAACATCGAAAGCACCCAGATGACCAGGGTGAACAGCATGCCACATAGGACGACAGCTCGCCGAGTGTTGTCCTCGGCCAGGATTTTGACATTCTCGAAGAATTGCACGATACCCGGCGAATCGTTTGACACCGAGTGCTCCCCACCGGGAAGAAGGTCCATTCTCATGACCGAGTACAAAGTGATGGCATTCACTACTTGACGCGGTCCGTCTGCAAAGATCGTGTTCATCCAGCCTAGCAAGTAACGGTCAGCCCGGGGAGAACAGCATATGCAACAAGGAGGGCCGGTTTCACTTACTCTCAAACGCAAAGTACGCAAACAGCGCCACATACTCTGCGCCTTTCTTACTCTTGGTGAGCTCTGCAAAGACCAGAAACCGCCTCCAACCGCGGCCCCGGCTCCCCATGCGAATACTCTGGATTCGCGCAGCCAGGGGATCCAAAAAGCTCTGCGCAATGCTCCCGGAGCGCATGGCACGCATGGCATGCAGCCATCGAAACACCAACAAAACGAAGGAGATGATAATACACACGGCAAAAACCCATCGCGACACCTTGAATGGGATCGCCGGCTCGATCGATCCGGCCCAGCGGGAAAAGACCAGCAGATTCACAGCCGTGAAAGTGTCGACAGCATACACCGCGATCGAGATCAGAAGGAACACATAGACCAAGAAGTAGGAGAAGGGCGACAGGCAAGATTCGGACTTGAAGTCGTCCAGATTCTGCAATAAGTGAAACACGTCAGCCACCCGACGAGGTCAGAAGCTCCTCGTACTGTTACTGTAGGGATAGATACTCACCACTGAGTCCCATTTCTCCTCCCGCGAAACAGGCCCCTTCTCACGATCACCACAGCAAGGCATCTTCGCACGCAACTCTACCTGGTCCCGCCAGGCACAAACCAAACAAGGGACTTCACAATGTACACCTTAACGGATTGGTGAGGTACTTCAGACTTGCGCGGACCAGCCGAGCACAGTCGCAATTGCCCGGGGGGGGGGGGGGGCCAGAGATTTGGCTATGAGAGGTAGTTGAAGAAATGCTTTGGGCGAGGACTAAAAATAAAGAGCGACAAAGCTTGAAGGCTTTTATTTGGATCGGCGGTTATGAGCAGCCCAAGCGCATTGTCGCAAAGCGCTTAGATAGTTGTTTGTACAGGACTGTTTCGGAGTCTCTGGGGGGGTAGTGGGGATCAGCAGGCGCAAAGAGTGAATCGCACAATGGCCATCGATTTGCAATACGATGCACGATGCAGATGAAACCGCAATATGTACTGTCAGAGCAACCGGATTTAGATTTTCGAGATAGAGAGAGAGAGAGAGAGAGATTATGATGGATCGTGGTGCCAAGATAGGGGGGCAGTGGACTGGAATGGAGGACGGCGCGTGTCACGATGCAAAGCAAGGACTGTGGGGTTGGAAGATGGACCTTGGAAGGAATGGAAGGCGATGAAGATCATCAAGTAATAATGAATGATAGATCCGTAGGGAATAAAGAGAGAGAGGGAGAGACGACAAAGATGAAGCAGTCAAGGAATGTGGAAGTTGAGGAAGAATGAATGAATGAGTCGAATCGCTGAAGGCCACCTTATGATTATGATTATTATTACTACCATGGAGGAGATCGTTAATTTAATAGTTAGTCCAGGGTTATTTTTTAGGCATAATAGAATCCAGATCACTACTCCGTAGACTAGATAGATCGATAGCAGTAGCACTATTTACGTAGTAGACTAGAAGAATTATAGTAGGCTAGATGTACTACTAGATTTTCAAGCTGAAACACTCAAGTGGTTACACTCATTCATTCAGCCTTCAACTGCAGAGAATGAATGATGTTGAGGTTATGATCCTCTACATCTAAACTACACAGAACACTGTCCTCCACAGCGCTCACTCTTCCGACTTTTATACATCAGGGGGAAAACGCCAACTCTCCAACGTCCCAAGTCTCAACCATACATGATACACAACTAACCCCAATAGTTGATTTCGAGTCTCCACAGCCAAGAACGGGGTCATTAATGAAGCCTCAGATAAAGAACGACTTCTGCTTGGCATTCATCCCCAACCACACGCTCAACCCGAGATTTGGAAGGAGAAGAGGTTGACCAGCGTAGTTGTAGTCTTGTAGATGGTATTCCACACCAGGAAAAGTTCCTGACTGGCTGTAGTCTTCAGTCACAGTGTCGATAGTCGATACTCTATGCCGGTGCCTAACAGTACTGACTACTGAGACCTTCACCTAGTAGTTACTAGTTAGTACTTACTTACTACCTACACTACAGACTAGATAGGGGACAGTGGATAATAACTAAGTGGGGAGAAATGAAACCGCAAACACGGACTTCCGACTCTGACAGGGCTGAAAGGATCATGAGGAAATTTAGCTCGAATTCTCGAAACAATGAAGATATATGAATGTTCGATGATGAACTGTGTCGATAGGGCTGTGTTGATCAACCGTTCATCAACAATGTATCTATCTACATACATGACCATGACTTGGTGATATAATAATATTATCACTACGGGGTATCATCCCAAACTCAAGGACAAAATCCCACGTGTAAACAACGACCAACTCCCCCATCATAAACCCCTTTTATCCCTTCTAACCCGGAGCCGAAGCCAAAAAAAAAAGAAGACAACAAGACAACAAGACGGCTGTCCAGATACCCTCCTTTCCTTTACGACTGGCGCGTATTTGTTCCCGAAAGAGGACCCCAAGCCCACCCACCAACATGCGCTGACGACCCGATATCTCCAAGATTCATGGGAGACTGCCAGTTCTTAATCAGGAGGCTCTGTACCAAGCCGACCACCCGGCCCGTTGCCGTCGAAGATCAAATGATCCCCGAACGGCCGGACCAAGGAGATGAAGCCTGGAACAAGTATCTCAAGGAGCTCGGCGAAGTCCGGGGGGACGACGACCACCAGCGCGACGCCGCGACACTGCCTCGGCGTTCGACAGCGAGACGCGAAGCTTTTGGTTGTCTTCCTCCAGCTCACGCGTTCTCTTGTCCCAACGGACTTGGTCCTCCGTCCGCTCTCTCCGTACCTGATCAAGAGCCCCTCGCAGCTTCTGGACTTCCTCAGCGACGGCGTCATCACTCGGGCCCGAGGCGCCCTTCTTGAATTCCTCGATTTGACGCTGGAGATCGCTGATTTGATTCTGCTGCTGCGCAACCTTCACCTCGCTCTCCGCCAAGGCAGTAGATATCGATCCGATGTTACCCATCTGGCGCTTGGGAATGTCCTGTAAGCTGCCCCGGGCCGCGTTCTCGTGCTTCGACAAGCGAGTTTCCAGAATCGTAATGGTTTTCTCCGCATCATCTGCCCGCTTCTGGGCGCGCTCAGCATCCCGCATGGCTAGGCCTCTTTGAGTCTGGAGATCTGCAATCTCTGCCTTCAGTTCCACCGTTTGCGGTCCGGGGTTTGCGGCGGCGGCGGCGGCGGCGGCTGCTGCTGTCGCTGCTGCACGTTGTTGAGCCCGCTCTGCATCCCGCATGGCTAGGCTCCTTTGAGTCTGGAGATCCGCAACCTCGGCCTCGAGTTCTGCGATTCGAGCCCGGGCGCTAGCACTAGCCGCGCGTTCCTGCGCGAGAGATGAGTCGCAGGCGTGTTGGAGATCGTGCATGGATTGCTGCAGTTCCGATTCGAGAGCGCGGGCTTGGGCAAGCGATTCTTGAGATTCCAGGAATACGGCCTCCGCCGTGGTCCTTGTCGATTCAAGCTCGTTCTGCAGTTGGACGATCTGCTGGAAGGCATCATCGCGTTCCTGCTGGACGGTTGCGAGCGAACTGCACATCTGCGACAGGTTGTCGCGCGAGGCTTGGAATTCCTCGTTTTTTGCTGTCAAATCCTGGACGTGAGCCTCAAGCTCATGGATTCTGTCGGCGGCTCGGCGACGCTCGGAGTCGGTTTCTTTGTCTGCAGTGGCCAGACGTCGCTCCATGGAAGCAAGCTGATCATTCCGAGTCTGGAGTTCCTTATTTGTGGCTGTTAGGTCCTGGACGTGAGCCTCGAGCTCGTGGATTCTGTCGGCAGCTCGGCGACGTTCTGCGTCGATTTCCTCGTGTGCGATGGTCAAGCGCTCCTCTGTGGCGACGAGCTTGTGATTCCGAGTCTGGAGTTCCTCGTTTTTGATTGTCAGCTCCTGGATGTGGGCGTCGAGTCCCTTCTCGGCAGCGGCCCGGTGTTGCTCCATGAAGGCAAGCTGCTCATCTCGAGTCTGGATTTCAGTTCGGAGCGATTCGATCTCGTCCAGAAACCTGTCCTCCGTCTGACGTTCCTTCTCGGCCTGCAGCTGCTGCTCTAGCTTGGCCACCTTGCCGCGAAGGGCCTGCTCTCTCGCAGTGGCATCGTCGTTTGACCACCTCGCCCTCATATGGGCCAGAGTGATCTGTGCCTCTGTTTCTGCGAGCCGACGTCGCAGAGCTGCAACATCCGTTGACTCGCGGGAGAGCAAGGCCAGTTTCTCCGCACACTTGGCGTGGATGTCAGTCAGCTGTTGGAATTGAGCCAACCCATCCTCGTTCCGCTGCTCGGCCGCGCCGAGTTTCTGGGTTGTGGCGGACAGGAGCTGGTCCTTTTCGGTCAGAATGCCTTCGTATCGCCGGATTAGAGTGAAGACCTCTTCTTGCCAAGGATTTCTGACTGGCGACTTGGGCACTCTTTTCTCGTCAACGTTGTTGTCTGCTCTCCGGCCTGAGGACGAGGGTGGCGTATCGACACGCCGAGATACGAGGAATTGGGCAAGACTGCCTAGCAACAACGCCACTAGAATGACGAGCGAGACACCGGCAAAAGCATGGGCAAGGATTCGGAAATGTGGAATCTCGCCGTCGAGGTCAATGAGACGTGGCATGCTGCGCCAGAGGTCCTCGAAAGTCACGCGCAGCCAAAGTCCGGTCTCCTCACCGGGACAGTGATACCCCCTGAAGCGCTGCGGCAGCAGGTACCGACCTGTAACCCACCCTTGGCGAACGCCCTCGCAGTACGAAGACAACCCCCGGTTCTCTGCCCGCAGGACGTCGGCAATGCCGATCAACCATTGCGAGAGAGGGCGAAGAAATGCCACGTACGCGGCCATACAGCAAAAGAATGTAATAGCGTGCCGGAGTGCCATCCGCGCAGGCTGTTGAGCGGGAAAGTACCACTTAAGTCCAACACAGACGAGGCGAGCGGCGCGCCAGTCCAGAATCGGTTTCTTCACGCGATCCTGAAAGAATCGATGCAACATGATGCCTCGCTCCTGAAGAGAGCGAGCGCGAACCAGCTGCATGGCGAGCGAGCCGGCCGCTGCAACCACGGAAAGCATGGGTGAGACGAGTCTCATTGCGACGGCCAAGATCCAGGGAACGAGATCACCCCAAAACATCGCCATAACTCCCAGGAGAGTTGCCAGAGCAAAGAAGATTGTGGCATCGGTGGTTAGATCCGCATGGGCGAAGTTTAAGAACCATAGTTCTGGCCCTGTTGCCTTGGCCACTTCGTCGTAAGCGTCTCCATAGAGGAAGTAGAGTTCAGCGGGGGAAGTCATGGCTGCTCTAGAAGTGCGAAACGACGAGCTGTCGATGTAAAAGAGAAGGAGAAGACCGTGTTCGATGAATCTTATCCGTCGAGATGGAGAGTATGATGTAAAAGAGATTGCTTTGCTTTGATAGTATGTGATATCAATGCTTTAACAAGATGCTATGGCAGAGAGAAGAAGGAGAGAAGATGAGGTTCCAAATGGTGGGAGAGAAAGCAGAGAGGTAAGGGAACAGCTGATCATGGGAAAGGAAGAGGCGCAATCGATGTCGAGTGAATGTCCTTGTCGCCATTGAGAGACCAGTGAGCGATGATATCCGTGCCAGAGTGAATACCACCCGCCAGCAAACAAGGTACCAGCTCCATCATAATGCGATTGAAGTAGGCACAGTGACTGGTGAGATTCCCACCTTCACTTCTTCACCCATAGAGGCATCGACTCATTCACTTGTCCATTGAGTCTAAAGAAATGGTCTAACCAGAGAATCAGGGAGGCTCCTCCAAAGGCCACCGTGGAGAGAGACGACATATGAGGACGATGCTCATGGTCACTCTCGATACTGACAACCAGAGAGCTTCTGCTGCCTCCAACAGATTAGCAACACTTCGAGTCACGAGCACGATTGCAACAAGGGTGTCATATACCGCCATGGCTATGAGCCCCGAAACTTCCTAGTTACAAACACACCCAATAAATACTCTGATCACCTCGCAGCGTCTTGTGTGGGTCGACTGGTCCATCTACGCACATCTTTCAGCAGATACCAGTCATCTTCAGGTCGAACATAACATCTTGGAACTCTATATGCAGTGACTGATCCGGTTTGAAGTTCACACCATGTCTTGCTCTGCCTCGGTCGATAGATCACCTCCGTGGTTCCAGATAGACGACCAGATCCATAGTGTACTTCCATTGCTTCTAACAGTCGGGGGTCGCCCCGGATAGTTTAGCCAAATTGCCTCTGAAATCGGGGAGCAGTGCCAGATAGCTCTATTATCTCGATGACCTTGAGGGAATTGCCCACCAATATAAATACCAGAATCTGGGGGCAGTTAATATACTCCGTGTCCCATGACATTGATTCTTATCGCCTGAAATGATCGTTATCATATTGGGGTTTTTTTTTTACCAGGCGCTCGAGCACTTAACTATACCCCCTCTAAGGAATGTCAACCAATCTTTGCAGGAGAGTGCAGTAGTCTCGTATTATTTCCCACGGTTGGTTGATAACTGGTGGCAGAAATTGAAGTCGTTGATCGAAGCATTGAGGGAGCTTCCATCCCGCGCTAACCCTCTTCGACTAGTGTATAGTCATGCATCCGACAGGTCATGTGATTGGCCGATAAGGTGCGCGGACTAGTCCAGATCGGGTATAGTCAGGCCTCGATGTCTCAGGGTGGCCTCAGGCACTCCCGGAGGAAAGAGTTGAAAAAGGAATCGTAGAGAAGAAAAGGCGATGAGACTCCTTGCTGCGATTCTGTGCGAGAAAACTTTTCAAATCAGACTGAGAGAAGACAAGCCACCTCCTCTGTCTGCTGTAGACACCCAAGAGCACTCCTGACTTCCTTCAGCATTCCTCTGCGATCTGAACCTGAATCTGAATCGGATTCTGATTGTGATTCTGATTCCACCTGCCAAAATCTCCACATTCGGACGTCATCGCCTTTTTTGGCCATTTCCGGCCTCAGGCTAGCAATCGCGCCGCCCAGCATCGAGCTGTCTCTCTCTCTCTCCCGCCATATCAATAATAATATGCGACTGTAGTAGCTCCTGCTGCTTATCTTTCCCCCGTTGATCCACCATCACCACTTCCCCCCCCCCAAATCGTCCCTTTGCCGATGGCTATACCTTCTGCAAACCGGTATGTGGCCTCCAGGCCCGTTGCTCTCGGTTTAGCGAAATTGCTGCTGCTGGCTTGCACACAAATACCCCTCATCTCCGCTGCGCCTGCGGTGCTGTCGCCGTATCAGGATCATGTTTCCGCCAGCTCCGAATTCGATCCCAAGCCTCCCAGTGACCCCAGCTTATGGCTGTATCTGGGTGTGGCGGCCGCACTCGTCCTGAGTGGAGGTGCGTTTGCGGGTTTGACGATCGCATTGATGGGCCAGGTAAGGCTTTCCCTCCAGGCCGAGTTCTATCTATATCGAACCGCTGAAGCTGACCGGGCTCGTGGTGGAATAGGATGAGGTCTATCTACAGGTCATCAAATCCTCCGGCGATGTATCCGAGCGCAAAAACGCAGCCAGTGTGCTGAGACTCCTCAAGAAGGGCAAGCACTGGGTTTTGGTGACACTTCTGCTCAGCAACGTCATTACCAACGAGACTCTTCCCATTGTTCTCGATCGGTCGCTCGGTGGAGGCTGGCCCGCCGTATTAGGCAGTACTGTTCTGATCGGTAAATTCCCCCCAGCTTCTTCCAGATTGGGCTTCCCCCATTTGCCGCGGTGCTGATGATATCCCAGTGATCTTCGGCGAAGTCGTCCCCCAGTCGATATGCGTCCGTTACGGTCTCCCGATCGGTGCGTGGATGGCTCCCTGCGTCTTAGCGCTTATGTACATTCTGTCCCCGGTCGCCTGGCCGATAGCCAAGTTGCTCGATAGGCTCTTGGGAGAGGACCACGGCACCATCTACAAGAAAGCGGGCCTGAAGACATTGGTGACATTACACAAGACTTTGGGCGAGGCTGGTGAACAGCTCAACTCCGATGAGGTTACCATCATCAGCGCCGTGCTGGATCTCAAGGAGAAGTCGGTCGGAAGCATCATGACGCCGATGGAAGACGTCTTCACCATGTCTGCGGATACCATCTTGGATGAGGAAACCATGGACCTCATCCTTTCTCAAGGATATTCTCGTATTCCTATCCATGCTCCCGACAACGACTTGAACTTCGTCGGCATGCTCCTGGTGAAAATGCTGATTACCTACGACCCCGAGGATTGCAAACGTGTGCGCGACTTTGCTCTGGCGACCCTTCCCGAGACCCGTCCGGAAACCAGCTGTTTGGACATTGTCAACTTCTTCCAGGAGGGGAAGTCCCATATGGTACTGGTCTCCGAATACCCTGGCGAGGATCGTGGAGCATTGGGAGTCGTTACCTTGGAAGATGTGATTGAGGAACTGATCGGCGAGTATGTAACACCCATCGTTCCCGTCCACATTTCTCGGCGCTGATGAACAACTAGGGAAATTATCGATGAGTCCGATGTCTTTATTGACGTACATAAAGCCATTCGACGAATGACACCTGCCCCGAAGTCTCGCGTGCCGAAAGGCCGCATCGTGGAAGACCCCCCTATGCTTCCTCCCGCGGCTCAAGGGGAACTAATCGAGACCAATGGTGAGTCCCGGATGCATTCCACCGACCGTCGTCGGAGTTCCGTCGAAGCACCTCCGCCTCGCTTCCAGATGCGTCTTCACACCTCCGATAAGAATTCCGACTCGACCGACGGTTTCCTCACCCATCGAGGGACCACTGATGAGATCCGCGAGCACCTCAAGCATCTGGGGCCGTCCAACCTGGCGAGTCGTCCTCGGCAAACTCGCTACCAAAATGTGAAGATCAAGCGCGCGATTAGCTCTCCTACCCGATCGGCATTCACCGACGTAGACTCCGGTCAGAGCACCTCCGGCTCACAGACCCGACAACCCAACTCTGTCGGCTTGGCCGGCGGCATAGGAGCTGGACTCCTACAATCCGGCATGGATGCCAGAGATGGCGCTCACGCGGTGAAACTGGGCTACGGTACCATGAACAACTGGATTGCAGACAACGAAACCGGTTCCACCCGGGACGGGCACCAAGTCTCAATACCGGAAGCCGTTCATGAAGAGCAGGATGACCACCAACCGCGGTCAAGGAATAGTGTTGCCGCGAGTACCGAGTCGTCGGACACACCTAACCAGCCCGGGGAACGGACGAGGACAGGCAGCGGTTACATCCATAAAGGCCCCGCCCGCAGTGGCAGCATCACCGAGCAAGTTGTCGACGTCAATGGCGTTCGCAAGGTTGTCCTCCAGACCACCAGCAGCAACACCACCACCGACGATGATGCATCTATAGCCAAGTTCCCTGTCCGCAAAAACGGCCAAATCATCGACTTGTCCCAGGACGAACAATCCCCCACCTCGCGAGCAAATGGGTCTAAGAAGAAGAAGCGCCATCGCAAACACAAGTCAAACGCAAAATCTTCCGACGGTCGTGCGGATGAAGAAGCACCTCTCCTGTCGAGGTGATGTGATCTTGTGATTTGACTTCTTCCTCTCCCTCTGCCGGCCAGAGTAAACGACCGCTGCAGGACTCTTCCCCCCCCCCTTCTTGTAAGACAGACAGTGTATTCATCATGCTGCATATGTGAATGTACGAAGCAATGAGTTTGATCTGTGACCGCGGAGACTTATCGATGACTGCTTCTATTTGATTGTCTGCTTCGGTTTATATCGTTCTATAAGTCTCTACCTACCTGCAGTTGCATATCTAGCCTACAAATGTCCGAGCCTCAGTGGCTTATATACTTTTTTTTGTACTGGAGATCTGTACGATTTGTCGTAGCCTACGATTCCATTTAGAGAACATCCCCAGCGCGATACACCCTGCCATCCAAACTTTTGTATTTGTGTCCCCCCGTGAGGATATATGCATGCACCAAGCTAAACTCCAGAAATTCAATGCACTGAGAAAATCAGAAAAGAACGAAAGGGGGCCGTTGAAAAGGAAAGACAAGAAAACACAGCATCCACAAAGCCCATGCAGGTGATCATTGCAGGAGGGGATCCTATATGTAGTCCAGCATGTTAGTCGCAAGCCTAACTGCAGAGCAGGGATGAAGGGTAGTGTACATACCCGGAAGTGCTTCTGGTTGTTTCCCACACGGTTGATCCGGTCCCTGAACCGGAGTTCCTGGCGGATGGCCCGCGTCCGCTCCTTGCGCTCTGACTCGGCAGCGGCCCGCTTCTGCTCCTCCGAGGCACCGATCATGCCCAGGCCACCGTTGGCACGGGTGATAAGTGCGCGGTTGGCATTGCGGCCGCGAGGACGATCCTCCTCGATCTCGCCGTTCTCGATGGCGAGCTGGCGGGCGATGCGCTCCTCGCTCGAGGGGTAGTTGTGCAGGTTCTGGCGGTAGTATTTGGCGAGGGAGCGGTGGCCGACGCTCTTGCCGGAGGGGAGGTGCAGTTCGTATTCGGTCTGGTAGACGACGGTGGCCTTGCGGTGGGAGTCGAGCTCTTCATCGTCTTCGTCGCCATCGATGGACGAGGCGTCGGTTTCCCAGCCCTCCTCGTCGGCGTCTGAGCTCGAGACCTTGACACCGCCCTCTTCAACCGCCTCGCTGGTGGAGTCGGCCTCATCGTCTGAGTATGTACTGCGGAAGTCATAGTACTGGCCAATCTCAATCTGTTCCTCTTCCGTCTCGAAGGCGATCATGCAATGACCCTTGTCCCGCATGTGGGTCTGGATTCCGGCGGGGTTGTTACGAATGGCATGGCAGTAGAGACATTCGCTGTTCTCGTTGATCTTGCGGTAAAGGTAGTGAATCAACCCATCCAAATCGACCAGGTAATTCTTCTCCGGGATGAACATGCCGTGGTTCTTGCGCATGTGCTCCACGTTTTCTTGGATATCAGAAGCTTCGTTGTTGCAGAACAAGCAACGGGACGGCGAGTAGTTCGAGTCCACCTCGGTATCTTCGTCGTCCTCTTCTTCGTCTTCTTCCTCAATTGTGGATGTCTTGAGATTGTCGACGATCTTGGACACATCGGAATCGTCTCGAGGTTTGTTGATGGGCTCGCCCAGAGAGAAAGTAGAGCTCATCACAGACGATGAATCATCCGCAAAATCTTTGGCCATCCGCACCTCACGCGCCTTGTGTTTCGAGCTCTTCACATGATTCTGATACGAGTTCTCGCTGAAAAATGTCTTCTGGCAGGCCAGACAGGATTTCTCAAACGACGCCTTGGCGGCAGCGGCGGTGGAAGTAGCTTTGGCGGCGAGCACTTTTTCGTTGAAGGTTTCTTGGGATACTGGAGGTAGGGATGCGATGCGACGCTTCATGTTATACAAACTGCAAACGGTAAGTGACTGTGAAAGCATGCCCTGTTCGCCAAAGACTTACTGCCAGTCCTTCCGCATGTGATCCCGCTGAGCATCACTGCTACGGAATGCAACGAGGCAGGTATTGCAGGTGTAGGGGAGAGACGACATCTTGGTTGGCAGCTGAGATGCTTGATCGAACGAGTAGAAGGGTATCAGATTCTCAAAAGATGGATATGGATGTGGTGATTCTCGCCACTCCGTTGTGGGATATATCCGAGCGGGGTACAAATAAATGCAAAACTCGAAGCGAAAGCGTGAGTCAGATCCCAAAGAAAGACTGCAGTGGAAGAGTCCAGAATGTATCCGGCAGACAGATCAATAAAACAGTTTCCAGGTGATGAATCTGCTTTCCAATCACCTCCAGATGGATGTTGATCGAAGGAATTCTTGCTAATCAATTATCGACACTGATAAACTTCCATCCCAACCGAACAAAATCAATTCTGCCGCCGCTTTAACATCCGATCGTCTTAGTCACTCGGGCGGCAGTGGCAATGACGTTAAAGGCACGTGCCATGAGTGGCTAGTCTACTTTCGGTACTGAGCAGACAGTTCTGTCCAGATCCGGTTTAGTGGAATGGCTGTCGGATCATCCCTTGTTCCACTTCCCGTGGCTGTTTGTCATCATTATCACGGGGCTTGGCGCCTGAGGCTATGATGCCGCTTGGGCGATGATATCAACCAGGCGAAAGCATCAGTTGGTCGACATTATACACATCTTACATCTGCATCTGTTTTCTGTTACTCTACTTCAATATTACAGTCTCCAGTATTCTGAGAGCTGTTCGGCACGGGAGCAGACAGCGCCTATCCTGACCGCGATAACACAGGCATGCTCCCCATTCCGCAGAGATGACTAGGCTCCGCGGAGCTTCTGTGAGCTCGTACGATGCTTCTCGTTCTCCGACTGGCGTTGATCGGTCTCATTTACATCGGTCCAAGCTTCCTCCGAATGCACCAGATGTCATTGTTGAAAACACTATCGATGTGTCCGACCCGGCCCAGGTCTTGCTATGGTATCGGGATGAGCGACGTCGGCAGTTCAATCTCCTAGTCCGCAAGTGAGTGCGCCGCCACCAGGGCCGGAGCTCTTAATTATTAGACCAGGCTAACTAGAGCTTTCTTCAAGATACAAAAACCAACTGCTATACGGATGTCAAGATCCCGCCTGCCGCACGCCAACCTGCGCTAGCTATCGAAGAAGAGTATCTGAAGGCCCATATCGCCGCTACACTGAGCTGAGTGCTCGGACTTTGGCATGCTACTTGGCTAGCTTGGATAATCCGGAGGCTGGTCTCTGCCGCAACACTCCGCGGGTACATTCAGAGCTTTCGTCCCATGATCATCAACGTTCGTCGAGACGTTCGAGCCGTGGACCACCTCCTGATCGTTCCACGACGCGAAATGTGTCATCGCCGTCAGGCCTCGAGAAAGTGAACGATGACCTTATACGTCAAGCACCAGCTCAAATCTCTGCGAGCTCTCCGCAATCTAGTGCCCCCGCTAAAGATACCCCTGAACCTTTCGTTGAGTCGCAGAAACAAATCGAACCCTCGCAGGACGAGGATCCTGCAGCGCAGCGGATGAAAGATCCGAAATCTTTCACGCAAAATCTCTTCGATACACTTTCTTTGCGTATGGTCGAATGGCTTCCTTTGCGACGGCTACCTGATGCGCCAGGCACAGAGTCTCAGTGCGCCAGACCACCCAAGCGCGAGACCTGCTGCGAACACTCCGATTCCGCCGAGAAGGAGCCAGAAGGAGGGCGCCGTGCATCGATTCACACAAGACAGGTGGGGAGCGCTCCGCATACCCCTTCTTCACGGGACGTGAGCAGACTCGCTCCTGCCGTCGAGACGAAACCCAACAGCCAGGTTAAACGAATAGCCGTACTCGAAGCAGACCAACACCACCCTCGTTCCAGATCAATCAAGGATGAAAGATTACGCACGGAACTACGGCCAAGCCGGAAACTCTCGATAAATGCGCACATCAGTGCCGATGAGTCGATCAACATCCCCTCACCGCCAGCTCTCAAGCATCGCCAACAGAAACATCGCGGCAGGTTCGAGGACCTTGATGCATCTTATACGCCAGAACAACAAAGAAAAGGAAGGCGCGTCTCTTGGGATAGTGCAAAGCTCTTGGACGATGTCCAGAATTCCGAGACTCAAAAGTCCCTTGCAATCAAAGACGAACAACTCCACGTGGAGGACCAACCTGCGAACGATCCCAAGTCAAATCGGAAAAGCTCACGTTCAAGACGAGAGCGGCCATTCACGGTACAAACGCTCACACATATCGATGGCGCAATTCTTGGTGGACTGGAGCGGATGTTGGTCCAATCCGAGGAAGATGCTCAACGGTGGAAAGATGAGCTGGCTCATATAGACTTTACAGGGAACTTCGAGAACCCCGAATGGCAGTACGCTACATCTGGCCAGCGTCGAGTGTATACATTTGTTGCACAAAGTGTTTTCTACGCATTGGGTAATCCGAGTCAAATCCTACGTTCATTCCACGGCGATACGGCTGGCCCGAGCGGATTGAACCAGAGCTCCCCTACGACCAAACTCAATCTGCAGCAGCTACAGCTATCACTACGAAAACTGTTTACTCTGTGTCCCTGGGACATTGTTCTCCATAGTTTGTGGCGCGCTATGGAAACGCTGTTTGTACCACCCAAGGAACTCTCGATGCCAGGCCGTCAATCGCGCCGGTCATCGACAAACTCGGCTACCACGGGTTCAGTATCTGTTCCAATAATTTCCCGTCGCTCATTTGACTCGGCAGTGAATGATCACGTTGATGATGCTAATGCTGCGGACATCGCAACCATTGCACTCTTTGCCCTTATCAGCTCTCTTCCTGCAGCTGATGCGCCCACGTGGCGAGCACTTCTTCAAATGCGCGCCGCTGGCACCGTTGCTTCGACCACCGATATGGAGAAGGTTTCTGTCGCAAGGTCGAGATCAATTGTTGAGATTACCGACAGATTCGAGCACGAATTGGCCTTGCGGCTTATCGATCGTCTAGTGCGTGGTCTCACCGCGCGCTTAGCATTCCACGAGATATCGAAAGTACGCCGTCCGAACTTGCTAGATTCTTCTAGCAAGGGCAAGAAGAGCGTCCTGGATCTGCTTTTGGATAACCTTGCCAACCATTACAGCCCGATGGCGTCAGGAATTGACGAGCCGGACCGAGCTGCGCAGCCACCAGCCGCAGCGGCCATCATTGCTGAATGGTTACGTACGCTTTTTCTTAGGAATTGGGACGGCAACCCCGAGATTTCTCGAAGCAGCTCTGCTGGAGGCGTTGTGGAAATCCTGTCGAGGATGTACAAGCAGCGCAATCACCTCGGCCTAGTCCCAAAGGACTTCCACACACCGTTACTTTCCGAGAGGCTGGATCCCCTGGAGATGCCCGTGGAATGGCTTGGACGGCTGAGCAATAATAAAACGATGCACCTACTCTCATATTCCTTCCTTTTCCCTCCATCTGCTCTTGTCATTTATTTCCGCGCCCTCAACTACTCTGCCATGTCCAAGGCCTACGAGGCTGCGATGACCACAACGAGACATGTGACTCAAACCGCCTTCGGACCGATCCCCATCCAAGACGATGTGAGACTCTTGGCGGAGATGAAAACCTCGATGACCTCGTATCTGGTCCTCATGGTTCGCCGCGATAATGTGCTTACAGATGCACTTAATCAACTCTGGAGGCGGGAGAAGAGAGAGTTATTACGTCCACTGAAAGTCCAGATGGGGATGGATGAAGGGGAGGAGGGACTGGACCACGGCGGCGTTCAGCAAGAATTCTTTCGAGTCGTCATGGCGGCGGCGTTAGATCCGTCTTATGGCATGTTTACGATGGATGAGCGCACCCGGGTCTCGTGGTTTCAACCTTGCTCGTTAGAGCCTCTTTATAAGTTCGAACTTTTCGGACTCCTCATGTCACTGGCAATATATAATGGCGTGACCCTGCCAGTGAACTTTCCGATTGCCTTCTATCGCAAGCTTCTGGGGCTCAAGGTGAAACACCTTGACCATATCCAGGATGGCTGGCCCGAACTCAGCAAGGGCCTTGGAGACCTGTTGACATGGCAGGATGGCGATGTTGGCGATGTCTTTATGCGAACATACGAGTTCAGTTTCGAAGCCTTTGGCTCGGTGGAGACCGTTGACATGGAGAAGGTGGACAAAGACGCTGTGTGGCCCTTGCCGACGGGCATTCACCGTAAACCATTTATACTACCTTCGAAGAGCTGGTCGGAGTTGTCTGACTTCGCAAAGACAGCAGACATGGATTTAAGTCCACCTTGTTCGATGGCGGCAGATGATGCCGATGATAGTTCGCCTGATTTATCGCACCGGGATATCAAGGATCATGCCGAGCATTCCGTGCCAACACCCCCAGTGGAGGAGGCTTCGCTTGTCACCAATAAGAACCGGGCTCAATTCGTCAAAGATTACATCTTCTGGCTGACCGATCAATCAATCCGAACCCAGTTTGATGCCTTTACAAGGGGGTTTTACACCTGTCTCGACCGAGCCGCTCTGTCCATCTTTACTCCCGAGGCTTTCAAGACCGTTGTTGAGGGCATTCAAGAGATCGACATCAAAGAGCTGGAGCGTCATGCCCGCTACGAAGGTGGATTCGGCCCAAGTCATCCGACCATCCGCGGGTTTTGGAGCATTGTACGAGGGTACTCCGCGGAGAAGAGGGCGCGGCTCTTAGAGTTCGTCACGGCCAGCGACCGTGTGCCGGTGAACGGGATTGCGAGCATCATGTTTGTCATTCAGAAGAATGGCGTGGGGGACGCTGTAAGTGTCCTTTCCCACCCATAGTGTCTCATCACCGCTTTAGCACAGTACTGATATTTCCTTACAGCGCCTTCCCACCAGTTTGACCTGCTTTGGTCGGCTCTTACTACCAGAGTATTCGTCCAAGAAAGTCTTGGAAGAGAAGCTCGACAAAGCCCTTGAAAATGCTCGGGGATTTGGAGTTGCCTGAGATACTTCTTCTTTTGGTCCCTATTTATTTTTGTGATCTAGATAATACCCCATTTTGTTTGTAGGTTGGTTTTGGTTCAAGCACCGCTACGACGCCACTCGTAGCTTGATAGTGTGGGAGGGATAGGACGAATTTAGGTACCGCCGGGGATTACCAATTTACACAGAGCGACGTGTGTGTTTCTATTCTGAACACTGTAAGCCGGTATATGGATCTTATATGGCCATTGTATCCACAGAGCTTCGAAGTAGACCATCTTATCCTCTCGCTCGCGAACTCGCCAAACCTGCCCCAACTGCTCGGACAAGTTTCCCCTGGCAAATGACGTCGCGCATGGGAAGTTTGGATTTTGCTATAGACAAATCTCAATGCTTGATGTTAGGAGACTTGACTTTGTTTCTCTCTTCATTTTTATCTTTCAGAACGCTCGGCCTTGATTTAGATCTATAGGTAAGCATTACTATTGATCTACAGTCGCCAAACGCCATCCAGTCATATCCGATTTTACCTCCACGGTGCAGTGTCCTCCGGGATTGACTCAACTTGTCCTCGACGAGCCACATTCCGACTGATACTTTTTAATCTTCAGTTCGATCTTTTCAGTCCCATACTCGGTCCCTTTCCCTCTTCGCGAGCACTCCCCCTTATCTGCATCTTCGAATAGTACGTGCATCCTGCGATAAGGGGTCAAAATTCTACCCCGCTACCCCACGTCCAGATCACAAAGTGTATTGATACTAATCAACATCTCTAGATATCGAATCGCGAAGAATAGTGACACCATGCCCCCCGTCATCCACCTCGTCCGCCATGCCCAGGTACGTCCAGTCTTCGTGGCAGCTGCCCATCCCGAGCTATAAAGCTAACCCGCTACACCCTCCCCCCAAGGGCGTCCACAACCTGTGCACCGCAAACCATGTCGTCCACGATCCCCTCCTGACCGATCTCGGCAACGAACAATGTCGCCAGCTCCGCCAGCGCTTCCCCTTCCATGACCAGGTGGAGCTGGTCACGGCGTCGCCGCTCCGCCGAACCATCTACACCGCGTACGAGAGCTTCAAGCCTGTGTTCGCGAAGCACACGGATATGAAGCTGGTGCTGCTGCCGGATGTACAAGAGACTAGCGACGTCGCCTGTGATACAGGGAGTGATCCAGACGCCCTGCAGAAGGAGATGGATGAGAAGCGGGTCCCGGTAGACCTGAGTCTGGTGCATGAGGGGTGGAATACCAAGGTTCGTTTTTTTTTCTTTCTTTCTTGTCGGTGGGTCTCGGATGAATGATGAGTTTTGATGGGTGTCTACTAGACTGGCCGCTATGCGCCCACCAATGCGGCGATCAAGAACCGTGCCCGCGAGGCCCGACGGTGGTTGAAGGCGAGACCGGAGAAGGAGATTGTGGTTGTCACGCACGGTGGCTTCCTGCACTATTTCACAGAGGACTGGGAGGATAGCAGTGAATACCAGGGTATGTCTGAGGAGTTTTTGTTCTGGTTTATCCGAGGATACGGTAGCTGACTTCGCGGGGGTCCACAAAGGAACCGGCTGGCATAACACGGAATTCCGCACCTTTGTCTTTACCGAGGAAACGCACCTGGATGATCTGGAGGGGTATCCCTTAGAAGGCGACAATGCGACGATAGTTGAGACACCGGAGTCGCGCGCGCGCCGTGGCAAGGACGGCCCCGCGCTCGACCGTGAGCGACAAAGGATATTGTACAAGATCGGTGTGCAGGGATGGGATGACCAAGGTCTACAGCTTAGCATAGCCGAGCGGGAGGCGGCCAAGGTGCCGGAGGGTAAAGAGGTGGATGGTGTCAGAATATAAGACTTTGGCAGAGAGTGTAGCGGTGGGAAAATGGATCTGTAGATAGATCTCGCATGGCATTAGATGCAAGAATAGAATAGAGATTCGTCTGTTCCAAATGTCTCAAAAGAAATTCGGGGTCGAGAACCCTGGGGATGAGGTGAACAAGGACGGGGATCTCGAAAGAGATAAAAGCGCACTGTTTCAGATCCGCTCCCTCGACAGGGACAAGGGCACGAGAGAGTTATTGTACAGTTGTTGAAGATGAGACTCCTCAAGGAAGCGACCTCAAGGGCTGAAGACATCTCTTTATGACTTGTCTTTGTGAGATCTGCGACATGCGAACAATAGCTATTATCTCGCTGTCTCGAAGAAAGAAAACAGGCAGTCGACAAGAAATAGACCGGGGGAAAAAAGACAGCGAGTGACAAAGGATCTCCTTCACATCATCACTTCATTGTTGAGGTCGGCTATAAGAAGGTCGATTCCACGAAGGAGACCTTCTGTTCATTTCATCAGCATGGACACCGACATGGACACTCAGCAAGAGCAGGGGATACAATCATGACTACTATCGTATCGACACAGGTGAGTCCATTCGGCACAATTGAGCACGAACTGACATGTCCACACTCAGATGCTCAAGAAGATCTATGAATGTTGAAGCAGAAAGAGCCTGCGGCTTGTAAGTGGCCCCCGTTCCCATGTATAGCTGACAGGAGCAGGACGCAATAGCATCATCAATCTTCATAAGAGGCAGACAAAGCGCTTCATCGGATTGATACGAGCACCATATACCCATCAACCTAAGTTTCCTAAAACTTCCTCCCTCCCGGAACAGACGAGACCGCTAATTAACCCTCAGATCTGGCTAATCCTTTGGCAAAACTCCATCATACAAGAACCGACTCCAGGTACGTCCGATCCACGAAGTCTCCAGCTTACACGCGTATAGGATATGATTGTTACGCAGATCGGCCAGGGCCAGATGAACGAACGTGAGAAGCGTCTTAATAAGTGTTGACCTCCTTCCTCCCGGATGCGTAAACTCACTGACGCGGTAGTAGATGAGGTTCCAATCCATGCCGTCAAGTGACGACTACATGAAGAGCGAAGTAAGTTGATGCCACACAAGCTGAGGAATGTAAACTCATCCGCATCGATGCCAGGTGAGGGATCAGAACGGCAGTTTCCGATCGCTTGTTGGTCTTACCATTCTCAAAACACGGTATGTCCGATAGATCGCCAGATATTCCAGCAGACCCTAATGCAATCCAGGAGCATGTTTTCATCCCCGATTCTCAAAACCTCTCATTGCGTTGTTCGGCTTAGACAAGACCCGGTGGAGATGTGTAAGGCTGTGCCAGTGCCAGATCACAACAGAGCATTCCGAAAGGGCTATTCGAGGGACACGAGATCCTTCTTCAGTCTTCAGATGAAGACGATCATTGATAAGATAGATGATCAATGAATATTATCATGCTGACTGCTTGCTCCAAGCTATCACCACCCTAAGAAATTTAGTAGACGGCACAGCCTTGTTTGCCGGGTAAATCCTTCGAGTAGGAGCACAAGAAATCCTGTAGGAGCAGTCCAGACTGCGCTGTCGAACTCGGTGAGCGGGCGACGAGGCTGGCCAAACCGTCTCTTGAGGCAGTGCTCACAAGCAACCGAATTGGCCGCTCTGCAGTGACAGGTAGCCCGTATAGACCACACAATTCCGATTTATTCCCAAAAAAGTGGAACGGCGTTGGGGTAGAACAGATGCTGTGCCTTGTAAAAGCATAGCCAGGTTCATGTAGATCCAGCGAAGAGACAGGATAGTTTAGAGCATTTTCGCTCAGAAACTGGCAGGATTTCCTGGCTTGTTTCAATCGCAGCTTGCAAGGAAGCATTGAGTTAAATGAGTTCTGCCTGTTTCATCAAACCTCGCACAGAATACCCACATATGGGGGAAGAGGTGGAGGAGGGCACAGCATAATCAAGGACTCCACCTATAATCGCGTGGGCGTGGCAATGATAGCATTCCTGACGCTAGAATGTTGCAGTTTTAGTACTAGTAGTTAGTACTAGTAGAGTAGATAGATAGCTGCCTATTCGGCGGCTTCACGCCAGCTGCTTATGCTTATGCTCATGATGATGTTTGGATGAAGCTATTTTTAGGTGCTGATCCCGTGGCGCAGGACGTGCCTCAGGCTTGTTTCCACTTTCCAGGCACCTTCTTTTCCCAACTCTCTCCAGAGTCCATCCAGTTATCAACTCTCCACGGTTACTCTCGATTCGTATATCTCGACACGACCAGCCCTTGATTCGATGGCGATCTTGGTTAAGGGTCTACACCAACGGTGTTCATTGTATGTTTCACCGACTTGATCAACCAGTCTATGCAAGATGCTCGACGAGAACCTCCCCAGTACGTCAATCTCAAACCCAACCCGAGAGCGTAGCATGAGCATCGCAGCTAACAGCCCCTAGCTTTCTTTCTCAAGCCAGGTACACAGCAAAAACACCTGTGGACCGTCTTCCTCTGCCAGCACGGCAACGAACCCGAGCCCGTCTACACTCTTCGCTATCCTGATCCTGCCTCACCAACATCACGGAATCGCTACGGCGTCGCCCTCTGCGACCCCTTTGTCCCCGATGTCGTCTACGGTGAGGTCCTGATCATACCCCAGTGGACGCAGCCCAGTCTCTCCGCCGAGACCATCCGCCAGAATGGCGGCGTCACACCCCCGCCGGAACCCATCCTCCCCTCCGAATTCACCATCCATCTCTACAACCCAGATCAGCAGGTGACGGTCCGATATAAGCATAAGACGTGGAATACACCCGCTACGTGGGAGTTTGAGATGCCGCAGCATACCTTCCGCCAGCCGTCCAGCTCAACGTTGGACCACGCGCTCACCGACCCGGCGACGGCAGACACGACACCCAAGCTCCGATTCAGCTGGCGCAAAGATAGCAAGCTGTCTAAGGACCTGACGTGTTTGCTGTCGGGGAAGACGACAAACATGCCCGAGGGAAAAGCGAAGAGTAAGGAGCCGGACATCACGCTTTCGATCTTCCAGTCCCTGCGCGAGTTGACGCTCTACGAGCCGAATCTGTATCGGGTCGAGATGGAGGATTTCAAGGGGTTGGAGGTCGTGTTGCTGCTGGGGGCGGTGACCATCCGGGATGTGTTTTTCTCCTCGATGAAGGATGCGTTTCGTCTTGCGCGCGATGCGTCTGTGCAGAAGCCCGCGGCTTCGGGGTTGGGGAACAACACCAGCGCTGGGAATGCTCCCGGCGCGACGCAGAGAACGGCTGCGCCAGTGGAAGCTGCAGTTCCAGCCTCGGATACACTCGGCCGAAACAAAACACCGGCACCCGTGCGATCTCCCACTGACACCCCAGCCACGCGTCCGACTCCCGCTCCAACCCCGCAGCAACGCAAGGAAGAGGAAAAGCGAACCAAGAAACTCCTCGAGGAAGAAGAAAAGGCCCGCCGCAGACGCCAGGCCGAAATCGACAAGGAAACCCGCCGCCTGCAGAAAATTTACGGCCGGGAGGAGCAGCAGGTGCGCGCCAGCACGACGAACCTGGCTCTTCCTGCGCCCGCGCAGCCTCCCCGACCCCAGGTGCAGCAGCAACCGTCGCAGCCGCATCTACCTCCGCGCCCGAATCCACGCTACTACTACCACCACCAGGCGGTGTCCATATCAGATGTGGCACCTGTGCCGCGGCCGCAAGCGGGACCCGTTCCCAACCGCCGTCCACTGTCGACGGTGCAGTTCGCGCCCGCGCAGATGGCAGCAGCGCGCCCCCAGGGCCCGGGGCCGGTGGCGGCGAAACCCCAGTTGCAGCCGAAGAAGAGCAGTTTCTTTGGGTTCCGGCGGACGTCCGAGGATGCGAACTCGAAACTGATGAAGAAGCGCAGCTCGATGTTTTGATTTTTTGTTTTTTTTTTTTTTTTTTTACTTATGATACCCTATTGCATTCTGGCGTCGGCGTTGCATACCCAAAAAAGTATACATTCAATGGATACATTATGATATGGATAGGATGGTCACGATACTCCACTACGCTATGAGGATCTTGGTCAATGCAACGGCCTCCCCTCGACCCCCTCGGTCGTAATCACCACCGGCAGGATATTCCCATCCGCATCAAACTCCATCCGGTCGATGCAGGTCACCCGGTGGTCGCGGTCGGTCTCGTTCACGGGCCGCCGGTGGTAGACGATGTAGTAGTCCCGGCCATCAGGCGTCACCACACTATTGTGGCCCGTACTCTTGCCCACCGTCGCATTGCCCGAGAGGATCTTGACCGGGGACGAAGTAAACGGCCCCGTCGGCGAGGAACCGGTGACATAGCTCACGCCGTAGGAATCATCCCCCCATCTGCACGAAAAACAATGAGCCACTGATCCATATCCACCCATACCAAAACGGACGGGAGAGAGTTGGAAACATACCCGCCCACACTGAACATGAAATAGTACACCCCTCCCCTCTTCAACATCCACGGTCCCTCCACGTACCCCGCCGGCGTGATCTCGCGATACTCGCCCTTCAAACTCACCAGATCGTCCCCGAGCTCGACGACGACGGCATGCCCCCAGCCGCCGAAATACAGCCACGCGCGCCCGTCGCCGCCGTCGTCGTCCACAAACACCTGCGCGTCGATCGGCTCCGCGCCGAACACCGTCTCCGGGACGAGCGGCTTGCCCAGCGCGTCGGCGAAGGGCCCGCCCGGCCCCGTGGTGGACTTGGCGACCCCGATGCCTGCGCCGTCGCCGGCGGAGAAGTACATGAAATACTCGTCGCTGTCGCCGTCGCTGTCGCTGTCGCCGGAGGAGCTGGGGCTGGGGGACGAGCTGGGGGTGCGGGTGCGGGTGCGACGGCGGCGGATGACAGAGGGGGCCCAGGCGGCGCGGTTGGTGGACCAGGGGATGGAGGCGAAGTCGAGGATGCGGGGGTGTTTGGTCCAGGTGAGGAGATCTGGGGAGGAGAAGGCGTCGAAGAAGGTCTGGGAGTCGTAGGCGGCCGAGTAGGTTGGGTAGAGCCAGTAGGAGGAGGAGAAGATGCGGGCTTCCGGGTCGGCGTACCAGCCGGGGATGACGGGGTTGCCTGCTCTGGGCATGGTGGTGGTGATGGTGATGGTGTCAAGGGGCACTTGGAGGGCGGAGGAGAGGGAGGTTAGGGTCAGGGGGAGGATGGAGTGGATGGGCTTCATGGGTTAATGGGTGATGGGATAGATGTTTTTTGTTGAGTTTAGTTTATCGACTGTTGAATCAAGACGAAGAAGAAGAAGGAGGAGGAGGAGGAGGAGGAGGAGGAGGAATCGAGGGGTTATTGACAGTGGACGCAGTGGAATGTACGCCCTCCATATACACACTACAGTGAGTGAGTGTGACCCCCAAACGATGGGAAGAAACACAAAAAAAATGGAGGAGTATGGACAGTAAATCAACAACAGGATTGGGTTGGCCCTGCACCCGACAGAGAGTGTGACCACGACCAAGTCATCCGCCAATATTCAAATAGATGAACTGCACATCATAAGGAAGGATATATATAATATATGTATATATATACATACTTGCAGAAATAGACCAACTACAGCGGAATCACGCTCGCACTCAGCATGACCAGCCCTTGAGCTACCCGCTGCTCCACCACCGTCATGAGGTTAATCTTCATCGACGCCGACACACTTGCCGCTCTTCAGATTGCTGCACGCCTCGGGGTTTGGCTAGGGTTTTACATATAGATTGATCGCAGGTCATCCATTCTGGTTAGAACAGTAGATACAAATCATAATCCCCCCCCCCCCCCCCCTCATCTTTTTCAAAAAGGCTAATAATCCAACGACTGCTCCAATAACCCGCGCAGCTCCTCCCGCTCCCGCTCCAGCTCGGCATTGAGGTTCGGCGCCAGCATCAGCACCCGCTTCTGCGGGATCGTGCCCTCCACCAACGAGTCGATGTCCGAGGCCTGGAAGCCGAGATCCTTCAGTCCCCGGGGCTGGTCCCCCAGCTCGACCAGAAACTGGGCGATGGCCTCGCCGAGCACCTCTCCGGCGCTCTCGCGCTTGACGGTCGAGATGTCGACGCCAAAGGCCTCGGCGGCGGCCAGGTGGCGGTCCGGGTTGGAGGCGGCGGTGAAGCGGAAGACGGCCGGGGCGGTGACGGCCACGGAGACGCCGTGGGGGATGATGGGGTGGTCGACGGCGTAGCCGGCGTGGCGGTAGCCCGGGTTCTGGCTGGAGATGGGGTAGCTCATGCCGTGGCAGAGGTGGACGCCGGCGTTGCCGAAGCCGACGCCGGCCAGGGTGGCGGCGAGTAGCATCTGGGATTGGGCCTCGAAGTCGTCCGGGTCGCGGACGGCACGGGGCAGGTACTTGACGGTGCTGCGCAGGGCCTGCAGTGAGAAGATGTCGGAGATGGGGTTGGCGCCCTGGTAGGCGGGGCGGTTGATGGGGTTATCGGGCCGTGGGGTGCGCTCGTGGTAGGGGATGGCGGTCCAGGACTCGAGCGAGTGGCAGAGCACGTCGAGGCCGGAGGCGGCATGCACGGCGGACGGCATGGTACGGGTATTGAGCGGGTCGCAGATGCCCAGGGTCGGCTTGAGGTTGCGGTGGGCGATGCCCGTCTTGGCCTTTTTGGCGACGAGATCGAAGATGGCGGTGCCCGTGGTCTCGGAGCCAGTGCCGGCGGTGGTGGGCACGGCGACCAGGGGGCGCAGCGCTTTGGTGACGGGCAAGCCCTTGCCCAGGGGGGCATTGACGAAGTCGAGGAAGTCGGCATCCGGGTAGACGGTGTAGAGGTTCATGAGTTTGGCGGTGTCGATGACGGAGCCACCACCTGGAGGGTTTAGTTGTTTTTCATCCCTCCGCAAAGGGGTTTACACTCACCAACAGCAAGGAAGGCATCGGGGTTATACGGTTTTGCGAACGCAATGGCATCCTTGACCCTACCTTCAATATAAGCAATTATGTCCACACCGGCTAGGACTCCGCAAACTCACGAGCTATCTTTGGGCTCCACCCGGACCTTATCATAGATGGTAAACTCGATGCCCTCGCGCGTCAAGCCCTCGACGGCCTGCTTCATGGCATCCAACTTGGAGACGTTGGCATCGGTGACGATACACACGCGTTTGGCCTTCATGTTGGCAAAGTCCATGCCGACCTCCTTGGTAGCGCCGGGGCCGAAACGGATACTGGAGGCGGCCATTTCAAAGGCATACTCTTTCTGACGGGAGGCATCGACGGGGGTGGCCAGATGTCGGCGCACCTGTTTGGCCAGAGATGGGGTGTGATGGTGGTGGTGGTTGGGATTGGAATGACAGGGACATGAAGGAGGATGGGTGTACTGGACGGTGCGCAACAGGTTGAGGGCTTTGTTGGCGGCGGAGGGGGCCACACGTATTGAGGGGGCGACCATTTTGATATGATTTTAGTTAGTTTTTGGAGAGATATAGATAGAGAGATAGAGAGAGAGAGAGAGAGAGAGAGAGAGAGAGAGATGAAGAAGAAGAAGAAAAGAAGAAGAAGAGAAGAAGAAAAGGGAGGCTGTGAGATGACCAACTGCGGGGGAAAAACCAATCTTTATGAGATGAGAGAAATTCAGTTCAGTTCATTCTTCAACTGCATCGGTCTTCTGCCCGAGGATCTGACTTCGGACACCATGCATTATTCCTGCTTCCCCAGATCCAGATCGATCTGGACGATACTCGAATCCCTCTACGATTCGGTGAACGCAGCGAATGGCGTCCTCCCCGGCTTTTTACTCTCTCCAAACGGAGTCCGTGGAGCTGCCATCAGGGCCATCCAGAGGGATTCCCTCCCTCATTCAGATTCAGTCTATCAAGATCAGATACAAGAAGATTGACTTTCTCAATTCTCGAGAGAGAGATACCAATTCAATTCAATTCAATGCAGATAAATCTTCTGATATTCATAGAACAAAGAATGGTCCTACAACCGAGGTCCATAAATTGGAGAACCGATCAGTTGGAGAAAGAAAAACATCACCACATCAACTCTCCAACTATGAACTAACAACAACATCACCATCCTCATCCTCATATTCTCTTCCCCCAAAACTCCGATCTAACCCATCTAACACAACGTCAACACCAAATCCCCTTCCACCCCAGCCACCCTCACCATACTCCCCCGCGGCGGCACTCCATCCGCCCAACTAATCTCCGGCACCGCCGGCTCCAGCCTCACCCGTCGCCCCGCAAACGGGTCCCCAAAGACATCGCTCAGGTCATACCACACCGTCCGCTCCACGAGGTTATACGCGAAGATGGTCTGCGGCGCCGCGCGGTACAGCCCGTCCCGCTGCGTCGTGAGCTTGATCGCCACGCCGCCGCTGTGCGGGTCGCGTCGGAACACCTCGGCGTAGTGCGTGCCGGACATCAACGTCGTCTGCGGGCTGATGGCGCTGCCGACCGACCAGAGGTAGATGGGGTCCGGGCAGTTGTTTTGCACGATGGCGTGCCCGAGGGTTTGGTTGGTAGTTGGGGGAGGGAGGAGAGTGAGGGCGGTGGTGAGCGGGAGGAGGAGGGGGAGGAGGGTGGAGAGGTGGAGGTTGAAGTGGAAGTGCATTGTTTGAGCTTGGGTTTGGTTTGGTTTGGTATGGTATGCTTTGGTATGCTTTGAGGATTGTTGGGTGGTGGAAAGGGAATGTCTGGCTGGGCTTTTATATCGCATCTTCATGGCAGTTGGCTGAGGAGCCCTGCTCATCTACATCGCCAGTGTCCTCTTCCAGCAGTGGAGACAACACGAGCGGGTGCAGGGTCACAGATGTACGACAAGTAGACACGAACTAGGACAGAGCACAAACGGACAACAGAAGAGACCCCCTATGCCTTGATCCCAGGTCCATGTCCCACGCGGCAGCTTGAGTCACACAGATGTCCAGGAATCCCCTTCGTGAAACGGCAAGCAGGTCACAGTAGTACAATCATAATGCTCTTGCTCCTTGTCATGCCATGAGTCTAATCAATACCATATATACAAGAAAGTCAACGATACAATCGCGACATGTACATGACATGATCAAAGGCAGGGTAACCAGGACCCTACCAAACCATGTGGTTGCGCAAAACGGCTGTACAACCCCCTCTAAAAAGCAACCACGGCCGACGTCCCCAAAGGAATGTCACCTTTCCGCGCCACCACCTGCAGATGCGAAGTCGTCAACCCACGCAGCATTCCCGACGTCTCAAAGCCCGTGCGCTGGAAAGTCGCAATCACCGGATTGTGGACCGAATCGGGCCCCGTGGCCGCCAGCACCGCCCAGGTGTCGTACTCCGTCGCCCCGTTCCAGCTCATGAACACCTGCGCCGCGTCCGTCGCCGTGCGGCGCACCACGACCGCCGGCTGCCAGAACGGCGTCGCCTTCCACGGCGCCTTGTAGCCGCGGTACGAGGCGACCTCGTTGTCGGTGCCGAACTGCGCGGTGAGCACCTCCTTGTTGTCGGCGTCGAACTCCTTGACGCGCGCGATCGACCCGTAGCCCATGACCACGTGTGACGACTCCGGGCTCAGGAGCTGATAGTTGCCCTGGCTGACGCTGTGGATGACGTCTTTACTGTCGCTCAGCGTGCGCACCGTGGTCGCCGTGCGGTTGACCAGGTTCACCGCGTAGCTCAGGCCCGTCGTCGCCGCCACCGTATCCGTCGGCGTGTTGGCGTTGTTGAACAGACTCACGATCATCCCCTCGGCAGTTTGATTGTAGATGCGCATGTCGTGTTGCCAGGAGAAGGCGCCGGCCGGGTCTAGCTTGAAGTCGCCCTTGCCCAAGTCCCCCTGGAAACAGGTCAGTCTTTCCATCCATAGATCCATCCATAGACTGTCAACGAGAAAAAAAAAAAAAAAAACTTACGCTAAACTGCCACATCACGGTGCCGTTGTTGTGGACATAAAACCCGGACCAATAATGACGCAGAGAGACCAGGTACCCATCGTCCATCAGTTCAATAGAGTTGATATGGTACGCGTCCCAGGGCTGCTCGTGAGTGCCGTAGTCATCTCCCAGACCCTGTTTGGAGTCCTGCAGGTGAATGGCATCGAGATGGTCCAGCGCACTCCAGGAGTGCACAATCTCGTTCGTGGCAATGTCAATCTCGTAAAACAGACCATCCAGCATGAAATCCTCCGGGGTGCCACCGATATCCGTCAGGCTGTGCTGCGTGACATTGTAGGCGGTCACCAGCAGCGTGTTGCGCGCTGTGATATGGCTCTCGTGCAGATCCATGTAAGAGTCCTTGAGACTGTTGTCCGGCGTCACAAAGTGGTCGTTCAAGGTCACCGTGTAGATCTCCCGGTAGGTGTCGTCCAGGATGTGGACGGAGCCGTACCCAAAGCCCAGATCGGTCATGTTCCCAGCCCAGAAGGTGATGACGTCCTGGTTGAAGAGGCGCTGGACGCGGAAGTTGGCCGTCACCTCTTCGGGGCCCTGGTAGACGAGATTGGCGTCCTCGTCGTAGATGAGGGCAGCAGTGCCGGCCTGCTGGTTCCCGCGGGGACCGATGAAGAGGTATCCCGGGTCGGTGACGCCGTTCTTGGTGACCTGGATCTGAGGTGGTGTGAAGGGGGCCGTCTGGAAGGTCATGAATGGCCAGTCATCGGCCATGGCGCTGACTGACAGCAGCAGCAGGGCACAGCCCGCGGGGAGTAACGCTCGAGGCATTGATGCAGTACAACGGGGTTCAGACAAGAAAGAAAAATAAAATATAAAAAAAAGAAGGTGAGGATCTATATACAAAGCCAAGGATGAACAAGCAAACAATGGTCCTATCAAAAGAGCGACTGGGAGTGGGAAAACGAGTGTGGTCGGAAGAAAGAGAGAATTCACAAGAACGACACTGAAACAAAAGACAAGCGACGGTCTATTTGAAGGGAACAGACGAAATGAAGCCGCGAAGAACAGGGACTGGCGATCTACAAGGGGTAAGGGATCACAACTGGAGCCAGAGTGAGATCAAATCATTCAGCCGAATTGGGGGGGAGGGGAAGGGGAATCCTGAATAGTGGAGGGATATTCTATCTATTCAATACCGTTGAGCCTTCTGTGGTTAGTCGTTCGTAGTCTGGAGGTCAACATACACTCTGTTAATGAAGGAATATCTGATAAGCTTCATTGAGAAAAAGATCTTCAGTGTCGGATTGGCCACGCGGTGGATGCCAGTTGGAGTTGCCAAGCCAAAGGGGGCTACGCAATGGGAGCAGATCTCTCTATCTGTGGAAGAATTGAGGGATGATGTTAGGATAAGGGTAGAAGAAGTTTCCTCTGCAATACTTGTGGAAGGTTGGCCATTGTGTAGATTTGTCTTTCATCTCAGCCGTGTTGATGTTGATGTTGATGTCGCTGTCGCTGCTGGATGTTGTCGTTGACCAAGGGAGTCTGTCAACTGGTCAAGTCCACCGCTCAACTTCATTTTGCTCATTGCTGGTCGTAAGTCAGTCCTCTTCGGTCAAATCATCCCACGGCTTGGGAAATTACAGCGACGATCGACCGGATCAGACTATCACGATCATTTGAACGGGCTGCCGGCGGACTGCGACGGGGATATACAATGAAGGATCATGGCCCGAGCAACCCTAGCGTATCGCTTACCAGTCGAGCCAGACAGACGGACAGTATACTCCCGTAATACTTGATGGACGATCAAGGCCCACCAGGAGACAGTCAAGCTCATTCCCCACGCAACAACAGTCGTGTCAGTTGTCAGTTGTCAGTTGTCAGAGTGGGATGCGGAGAGTGGCCCTGTATGAGTATGACCAACACTACACTCAGTCACTGACAAGTGGTTCACTACGGTCTACGACAATACATCTGAACAAGGCTCAGGGCGCTAGACCATCTCCCTGGCATACCAAGTCAACCTACAGTCCTATCAGGGCGTGCGATGGCCAGAGATCATCCCCAAGCTTTCCTGTTCAGCGAGCTGCGCAGGACTGGGCGTGACACCGCGCAGGGAGATGCGATCACGCAACAGCAAGGATGCGATTGACCTCATCGATGAATGGGCGGGCTATCGTATAAGTTATGGCATGCCGACCGTGCCTGTCTACATGTCCTTCTCTCTTGTTTGATTTTTTTTTTTTTCCCTCTCGGCCAGGATCTAAGGGAAAGACAGCATGGGCAAACGGCTGGGCCTTCTGCGGGCCATTTACCTCGTGTCGGCGAGCTGCATGGGCTCCTTTGCTTTTGCCTTTGACACGGGCGTCATCAGTGCGTCCACCGGTTTTCTAAAAAGAAAAAAGAAAGAAAAAAGACATTTGATGGGAGACAAAAGGGGTCTGGCCGATGGCTGACTGACTGACTGACTGACTCAACTCCAGGCGGCGTGCTCACGCTGGAATCTTTCCAGCGCGATTTCGGATACACGCAGGCGCAGAAAACCACCGTCAACTCGAACGCGGTCTCGATCCTACAGGCCGGCGCCTTCTTCGGCTGCTTCTTCACGACACCGGTGGCCTCGCGCCTCGGGCGGCGTTCCGGGCTGATCCTCAGCTCGCTCATCTTCACGGTCGGCACGGTCCTGCAGGTGATCAACGCGCACACGCTGGGGACCTTCTACGCCGGGCGGGTGATCGCCGGGGTGGGCATTGGGGCGGCGACGGTGCTGATCCCCATGTACGCGGCGGAGATGTCGCCAAAGGAGTTCCGGGGCCGGCTCGGGGCGTGCTTCCAGTGGTTCTTCGCGCTTGGGGTGATGGTGGCATACTGGGTGACGTACGCGGTGTCGCGGGACCAGCCGTCGGCGACGAAGCAGTGGCAGATCGCGCTGGGACTGCAGCTGCTGCCGTCGACGCTACTACTAGCGGGCATGTGCACCGTCCGGGAGAGCGCACGGTGGCTGGCGACCCAGGGCCGCACGGAGGCGGCGTGGGACTCGCTGCGGTGGGTGCGCGGCGGCGAGGAGACGGCGGAGCTACGGGCGGAGTTCGACGAGATCCTGCGCGGCATCGAAGAGGAGACGCGGGTGCGCGAGCACTTTACGTGGCGCGAGCTGCTGCTGCCGGCCAACCGGTACCGGCTGTTCATCGCCGTGACGATCCAGCTGTGCGCGCAGCTGTCGGGCAACACGTCGCTGGCGTACTACGCGACGCAGATCTTCGCGGCGGTCGGCGCGGGCTCGTCAGCCACGCTGGTGACGGGCTTTTTCGGGGTCGTCAAGGTCCTCGGCGTCACCGTCTTCCAGCTGTTCGTGATGGACCGGATCGGGCGCCGCGTGCCGTTCATGGTCGGCGCGGGCGCCATGGGCTCGTTCATGCTCATCATCGCGTGCGTGCTGGCGACGCACCCGACCCCGTCGACGATGACGACGACGACGGGGACGACGCCTGCGGGCATCGCGATGATCATCATGACCTACGCGGAGGCCTTCAGCTTCAACATGTCGTGGGGCCCGTTACCGTGGCTGTACGTGGGCGAGATCTTCTCCAGTCGCACGCGCGAGGTCGGGGTCACGGTGGGCGCGGCGTCCCAATGGCTGTTCAATTTCATGATGTCGCAGGTGACGCCGCATGCGATCTCGAACATCGGCTGGCGGATGTTTTTGATGTTTGCCATTTTCAATTACGCGATTATTGGATATTCGTGGGCTTTCCTGCGGGAGGTGGGTGGTTACTTCTCTCTCTCTCTCTCTCTCTCTCATATCCTGTTCCTCTATCAAAGGTTAAAATTGACGAAATAGACTTCCCAACACTCCCTAGAGGAGATGCAGAATGTGTTTGGCGGCGGAGCAGCAGCAGCAGGAGAAGCCTCTCTAGACAAGAGGCTTGAGGAGGAACCGGAGCCAACCCGGGGGGAGCAGAGTGGTCCGGCACCCGAGGCGTCACAGTCACAGTCACAGTCGCCATCCCCGTCCTCGATCCAGGAGCAGCCTTAGAGTCAGACCCTGGCGGACTGGTACATAGTGATAGCCTGATCCGATATCTGGCTTTTGCTTCGATTTGCCGGTGATGCAGGCTGATTATTATAAGTTTTGGAATAGTCTGCTAGTCTGCTAGTCTGTTAGTCGTTAGCATACCTCTACTCCGTGCTCCGTAGATTACTAGTAGATTATGTGATTTCATAACTACTAGATATTTAGATAATATTATTAGTAGATGATTATCGAGCTGACTGAATATGCTCTATAGACTGTCAGCTTGTAGCATACCTGAACCATTATAAAAATAAAATAAAAAAAAAAAAAAAAAAAAAAAAAGAAATAAGGCTGAGCTGTCAGGTCCCAGCTCATACCCCAGACTGCAGACTCCATATCGCATCCTCTGGACTACCGAGTATTCTCGCCTTCAGTCACACAACTGGGTAGACTAGATACTCCCAAGTCAGTGGTCAGGATGATTCCCAAGCAAGAACGGAGTCATCTTCCGAAACCAACATCCACAACAAATGAAAAGAAAGAAAAGAGAGAGAAAAAAAAAAAACTCTATCCTCCCGCCAAGGCGAACGGGCTTTTACTTTGGAGTTTGGACCAGACGCACTGATTCGTAGAAAAGCCCAGTTCCCCCCTGGATCTCTCCTCATGGAAGAGAATACCGACCAGTGACGGAGACTTAAGGAACACACGATTGGTCCTTTTGTCCCGTGTCTGGTGCTTTTCACGTTTCTTGTCCCCAGAACCCCAGAACCCCAGTGGCAAAGAGGTGGAAGTTTGGATAACTTCCTGGGGAATGGTTTAGGTGACACTCCACTAGTCCACTCTCCCTCCGGCTCAGACTCAGAGCTGGTTTCATCTCAGACCATGTCTAACACTCCTAAGTCTTAACTCTGACCGACACCAAGTGACCCAAGTCCGATTCAATCTTAAATCACGGCCAACGATTGGCTGCAGACTCCCCCTCATATCATGCCCTAAGTATAGGGGTCATTGGAGTCATTGGCAACAGACTCAGAGTAACAGACATGGTTCAGATCTTGAAAAGATCCACCCCAAACTCTCCCCTCCAAGTCTCCGACAGTCCGACTCTCGCCAATTTCCACCTCGGTTACCTCTTAGACTCGTCCCTCTTGAGTCTTGACTTTCCCTGTCACGGCTTCCAGCCCCGGCTTGACTGTTTGCACTCTAGCGTGGCTCTTCCATGTGGCAGATTCCAAAAGGATCCAAAGGACCTAAACTAGCAAGAGTAAAGCCAGTTAAAGCCAGAAAACCACTCGGACTGGACACCATTCCCTCCCCTTCTCCCATCTCCCACCCGTTCATTCTTTTTTTAATATCGACCGACTCCCGGTCAGATCAAGAGGCAAACCACGGAGTCGGTCCCCTCTCCTGTCTCTCGGTCCACTGTCTACTAGATTTAATGTGCAGTGTCTATCAAATCCCAGATCATATCATCCCATCGAAGTCGAACTCTCTCTCTCTCTTGTCTATCTCTCTATCCGACTTACCCCAGATTTCTCTCCCCACAGAGACTCCATTCTTTTACCTTAGTTTCCCCCGACTCGATCCTTTCTTTTTCTTTTCTCTCTCTCTCTCTTCCACACCATGCGATCTACCTAACTCAAATGTCCTCCTCCTCGGATCGCATCACGCGGCCCCAGGATCCCGATGGCCTGGTCCTCGAAGCCTGGGGCCAGGGCCTCATGCTGGGTTCGTTGCTGGTCATGGCTGCCGTGACCTTTGCGAACATGAAGAAGCATATCCTCCTGCATAAATTGATTCTCGCCGAGGTAAGCCGCCTCTTCCTCTTCCTCCTCCTCCTCCTCCTCCTGCTGCTGCTGCTGCGGCTGCTGCTATGGAAACCCAACCCTAGCTCCCACCCTGAACCGTGGTAACCATCTCCGCATCGATAGCTCATCCTCGCCATGCCCAACGGCACCTTCATCTTCCCTAAAGACCCCGTTTACGGCTGGTACCAAAGTGTCACTGCCATCGGGCTCAACATCTCCTGGTCGCTGCACAACGTCATCGCCTGGATGAAGAACAAGCCGTTCCTGTCCCGCCGCGTTTCACTCTTCTACATCGGCACCGTCATCCTCGCCCAGCCCTACTGGATCCTCGAGATCTACGCCAACTTTGCCTATTTCAACAACTTCAACAAGATCTTTCTGACCACCCGGCCGTTGGAGCCCATCTTTCGGTATGCCACCAATCGCCATCGGAAGGTCGCGAGGGGATGAATACTGAATACTGAATACTGATGGATACTGTTAGTGACCCCTGGTGGGTCTTCACCACCGTCTCCCTCTTCTACACCATCAAACGCGAATACAACTTCAGCCTCAAGGAGCTCGTCAGCATCTCCCCACGCTTCGGCATCATGCTCGCCGCCATGTGTCTCTCCATCGCCTTCATGATCGTCGATACCTGCAGTGTACTCAACGTTTTTTCCCATTCCTCCCTGCCAACGGGCATCGAGCCTTTCTGGAAGGTAAGTCCCCCTTTTTCTCCCCAAGTCTGAGGATTTCCTCCCCGCTAACAACCGACCCAGCTCTCCTTCATCTTCAAATGTCTCTGCGACACCGTCATCCTCGACGACTTCAAGACCGCCCTCGACCGCATGCGCGCCTACTGGCTGCGCAAACGCAACATGGGCGGCGAGATCCTTCTACACACCGGCGACCAGAACCAGCGCCACCGCCTCGAAGGGAGCAGCCGGCTGCGTCCCACGGACGAGGAGGACGCCCTGGCCAGTAGCGGGATGGGTAGCGGCGGCGGTCCCTCCCAGCGCAAGTCCGATTATAACGTGCCCAAGGTGTATACGCGGGAACATGTGCGGACGACTTGACCCGGGCTGCGGTTTGCAGTTGCGGGTGGGTATATATCAATATATATATATATATATATATATATATAAATATAATTTCTCTTTTTCTTTTTTTTTTTTTTCTTTTTTTTTTTCCTTCATCTGAAGTGTATCCGTAGAGCGAATACAGATATAATCATGAATATATATATATAGCCAATACGGAATTAATACACCAGTCGCACCCTAGTTACAATTCTACATTGGAATCGGAGTAGCAACCATCACGGTGTATATGTAGTATACAGTACTCCAGGAAAAGCACAGGAGATCGATATACTAGGGGACCAGGGAGCTCAGAGAAAGAGTGCAGTTCACCTGAGCGGACGATCTTTCTGTTTACAATCACTGGGAATAAATAATGACAGAAGCGACCATTGCCGACGATAACGAGAAAAGATCCTCATACATACGAATGCATCAACCCTCTCTATCGCAGCAGCGAGTCTACGACGGTCAAGTACCCTTGATCGACCGGAGCCATTGCTCAAGTTATTCGTACGCTATACGATTTCACTCTGTTGATATATGCCAGCCAACTCCAAGTCTAACGGCCGTTGCGCGAGCGTTGCGACTTGCGACTTGTGACTTGCGACTTGCGACTTGCGACTTGCGACTTGCGACTTGCGACTTGCGACTTGCGACTTGCGACTTGCGACTTGCGACCCGCCGACCATGCTGCGGCCTGCGGCCTGCGGGTCGGCGGGACCTCTGAGTCTGAGCTGCCGTTGGGCGTCGGCATGCCGCCTGGGCGTCCGGTGCTGGAGTCTGGAGTCTGGAGTCTGGACTCTGGACACGCCGATCTGCACTATCGGGACTTCGTGATCAAGCGTCTCTCTCCCGGAACGTGGGGAGTTTTAGTTTTAGATCGTGGGGGGTTCGCTGAACGAGTGCATGGGCCCATGGCCATGGGGCATGGAGGTTGTTGAGTTGGTATGGCGTGGAGACTGGTCCAGCCGTTGAGGGAGAGGAGAGATGAGAAGGGAAGTACTCCGTAGATATTGCAGGGAGGACGGACTGTGCTTGAAGATGCCGAGTTCTTCTTCAGTCGTATCCCTGTATCTAGTTACACTGCATTATATCCCATAATCCATGAGCTTTGCTGGGCGATATCCACTGTAGACTGCCAGAATCTCAGAGTCAGAGATGTAGGAAGGTCCACGCGATCCCGCTGATGTCACCACATCATCCAGCATAGAAGCAGCTCCTCAGACCTCAATCCCTTCTTTTCTATATCTATATCTACCCTCATACCTCTTCTTCTTCATTTTTTACTTCCCTATTTCTTCCCTCCTCCTCCTCCTCCTCTCCATCTTCATCTCCCCAACCACCCCCCCCCCACCACTAGCAAAAATGGACGACAGACCCCTCCCCCCAACCAGCACAGACGTAAGCTCCTACACCCTGCACCTCCCCCCCCAAACCAACTAAACCAAACTAAACCCTAAACCAAATCTCAGGTCCGCGAACTCACCGTCCAAGAATCCTCCGCCGCAGTCCTCTTCCCAACCTTCACCGCCTCGACCGCCTGGTCGCTCGGCCTCGCCCTGCGCACCCGCATCCGCTCGCTGCCCGCCGACCAGCGCAAGCCCGCCCTCATCTCCATCACGCTCTCCGGCGGCTCCGAGCCCCACGTCGTCTTCCAGAGCGCCACCGAGCCCGGCACCGTCGCCGACAACGAGGTCTGGGTGCGCCGCAAGCGGAACACCGTGCTGCGCTGGGGGGTGTCCAGCTGGCTGATGCGCCAGAAGATGCTGGCGAGCGCCGCGCCGAGTGCCGCCGACGTGGAACAGGCGTTTGTGCGGAAGTTTGCGCTGCAGAGCTCCGGGGGCGGCGCCGCGGATGACTATGCGATCCATGGCGGTGGCTTTCCGGTGCGCGTCCGTGGGGTGGATGGCGTGGTGGGTGTCATTGTAGTGAGCGGGCTGAAGCAGGAGCACGATCACCAGGTCATCGTCGAGGTCGTGCACAATTATATCCTACAGAATTCCGAGGCACCCTAAGGGATCTTGCAACCGTATTTCGAAGACCACCTCCATCATTGGATACAAAAGTACAGGGATACCAACCATATATGATCGCCGATCAAAACAGGGTCCAGGTCTCAAGCCTATTCACGGGAGAGGGAAATAATGCATCATAACAAATCAAAACTCCATAAATCCTCTAGAAAAGATATTTTACAGTTCGTCATGTCCGCTGGGCTCGTCCTCCTCATCAGCCGGGGCAGAGCCATAAAGCTTGCTGGTGATGGGGTAGGCCACGTTGGACAGTTGCTCCTTCTGCTCCTCAAAGTCCTCGGTGGTCGCGGTGGCGGCGTTGTCCTCCAGCCAGTCGGTCACCTCCTTGACAGCATCCAAGATCGTCTGCTTGTCATCCTCATCGATCTGACCACCCAGGCCGTTCTCATCGTTGACCTGGTTCTTCAGGCTGAACGCGTAGTTCTCCAGTCCGTTACGGGCCTCGATCTTGGCCTTGATGGCCTTGTCCTCCTCGGCGAATTCCTCAGCCTCGGCGACCATGCGGTCAATCTCCTCCTGGGACAGACGACCCTTGTCGTTGGTGATGGTGATGGACTCAACCTTGCCGGTGCCCTTGTCGCTGGCGCCAACCTTCAGGATACCGTTGGCATCCAGGTCGAACGAGACCTCAATCTGGGGCACGCCACGGGGGGCGGGAGGGATGCCAGTGAGCTCAAACTTGCCGAGCAGGTTGTTGTCCTTGGTCAGGGAACGTTCACCCTCGACTGGAGAAAGCAGTCAGTAACAGGGCGCATGCGGGGATAAGATAGGCGTGAAAATGTACTTACAAACTTGGATCAGGACAGTGGGCTGGTTATCAGCGGCGGTCGAGAAGATCTGAGACTTGCGGGTAGGGATGACGGTGTTACGGGGGATGAGCTTGGTCATGACACCACCGGTGGTCTCAATACCGAGAGTAAGGGGGTTGACGTCCATGAGAACGACATCGCCGGTTCCCTCCTCACCAGACAGAACACCACCCTGAACGGCGGCACCGAAAGCGACGGCCTCATCGGGGTTGATGCCCTTGGAGGCCTTCTTGCCACCAAAGTACTCCTCGAGGAGAGACTGGACCTTGGGGATACGGGTGGAACCACCGACCAGAACGATGTCGTCAACATCGGCCTTCTTGACCTTGGCGTCCTTGAGAACCTGCTCAACAGGCTTCAGGGTCTTCTTGAAGAGGTCCATGTTGAGCTCCTCGAACTTGGCGCGGGTCAGGGTCTCAGAGAAATCCTCGCCGTTGTGGAAGGACTCGATTTCGATACGGGTCGACATCTGGGAAGACAGAGTACGCTTGGCCTTCTCAACCTCGCGCTTCAGCTTACCCATGGCCTTGAGATCCTTGGAGACATCGACGTTGTTCTTCTTGTTGTACTGCTTGACGAAGTAGTCCATGACGCGGTGGTCAAAGTCCTCACCACCAAGGTGAGTATCACCAGCGGTAGCCAGAACCTCGAAGACGCCGTTGTCGATCGACAGCAGGGAGACATCAAAAGTACCACCACCAAGATCGTAGACAATGACATTGCGCTCATCACCAACCTTGTCCAAGCCGTAGGCGATGGCCGCGGCGGTGGGTTCGTTGACAACACGGAGAACGTTCAAGCCGGCGATGGTACCAGCGTCCTTGGTAGCCTGTCTCTGGGCATCGTTGAAGTAAGCGGGAACAGTGACGACGGCGTGGGTAACCTTCTTTCCAAGGTAGCCCTCAGCGATCTCCTTCATCTTTCCGAGAACCATGGCGGAAACCTCCTCGGGGCTCAGGATCTTGGGAGTCTTGTTGACCTCAACCTTGACAAGGGGCTTGCCCTCCTTGTTGACGATCTTGAAGGGGAAGTTCTTGGCGTCCTTCTGGACATCTCTGTCATCGAACTTGCGTCCAATCAAACGCCTATTGGCGGTATAGTTAGCGACGGAAGTTCATAGAATGCTCTATCAACTCTCAGGGAATCACTCACTTGATGTCAAAGATGGTCCGGGTAGGGTTCGAGGCGTATTGGTTCTTCGCGGCGTCACCGACCAGGCGCTCCTCATCAGTGAAGGCGACGTAGGAGGGAGTGATACGGTTTCCTTGGTCATTGGCGATGATCTCAACCTTTCCATTCTGCATCACACCGACACAGGAGTAGGTTGTTCCCAGATCGATACCGATGACTACGAGCAGACAAGCGGGTCAGTTCCATCAATTGCAGCAAAATACCAGACAGCCAACAGAGCGAACACCTACCAGTGCCATAGTTGTCCTGTACTGAGGAGTCTTCCTCGGCGTGAGCGGTTCCAAAGAACGCGAGAGGAGCGATGAAAACAAGGAGAAGATAGAAAATGGTGGACCAGGCAGCGAACGGCTTAGCCGCGCCATTGCGACTCGATAGTCGCGACATGATGGGGGTATATGTGATGTAGAAAGAAGTCCTTCGTTCAACAATCGGACAATGTTCAATCCAGGTCAATGAGGATACGTGTATGTTTCCAAGACACGTTCCAAAATCCTTTTCTCAGCTCCCTGCAACACGCGCACACACACACTTCCTTGCGGAGATGTGCTGGAAAGAAGCAAAGAAAGAAAGAAAGAGGAAAGGGAGAAAGTCGAACAGACGACGACTGGGGAGGAATGTTTGTCGAAGTGAAAGAGAGAGAGAGAGAGAGGTGAGTTGAAGAGGAGAGGGAAGAGAATGAATTGTCCAGGGAAGCTCCGGCCAGCTTTTGTTCTTGTATGGGCCGGCAGGCGGCAAACAGAGCGCAGCGGCCATGCTGGCCTTTTCGCGGGTGTTGCATTTAAGGTTACTTCTCCGCCGGTGATTGGCTGAGACTGCTTCCTGGGCCCGGCGGGCTGAGTCATCCAAAACCTCACCGCCATGGTTCTGCCGGCGAAACCTCGAGGTGCTTCTTTCCCAATCGGGAAAGCGGATTGGCCATCGAAATTGCTAGAAGGAAGGAACGGGGTTCGGCGCCTGAGGATTCAGGAGTCAGGATACGTGGATGGTCGCGAATGGTCTGCATCAAGTGGGTTTGAGACGACAGTGGACAGCTGTCGGTTTCATCTGCTTTCTTCTCTACGAAACTGCGACTAGGGGTTCAATTCCACAGCAATATCTCGACAGATAATCCCTGACGAAATTCCGTCAGGCGGGGAAAGCGCGCCTCAGGCGACGAGTCCGGCTGATTAGTATGCTTGGAGTCAAATGATAGGATCATAGTCAGACATAGAAGGCCCACTGCCATGCTTGCCTGCCTGCCTTGTAAAGGTGCCTGGTCGCCACTTGTCCTTTAACTCAAGTGCAAGTAGGCTTTCGATCTTGTATACTTTTAGCCGGGTCATAGGCCAGGACAAACGTAATGGATCCTAGGTATTTCGTAGTCGTAAATCCTAGCGTTATCTATACGATTCGCACATGATCTATCACTATTCCAGCAACCCAGCGGCGACCGTCTCGCCTCCAGAACGTAGGACAATCCTCGTAGGTGCCTCAAGTGGCACAGCCTGGTCCATCTCCACCACCACTCGCGCCACAGTGCCAGGCGCAACGATCTTGGGCTTCTTCTTGATCACGGCGCCTGATCCCTTGTCGAGTGTTGCGACTAATCGGCTGATGCGTCCGGGGACATGGAGACGTCCACGATGAATATCAACCATGCTGGGCATCAGGTGCTCGAATGCGAGCACCTTGGCCGTGAAGGACGTGACATTAGCAATGGGGGCTAATGCCCGGCAGATCACATCGCCAGATCGAAGATGGATGGGATCGATGTTGGCCAGGTTCAGAACCACGTTCTGGCCGGCTACAGCCCAGTCGCTGGGTTCGCCATCGACTTCCAGGCTCCGAATGGTGGCTGTCTCACCGCTCGGCATGGTCAGAATCTGATCGCCTATCTGCAAACTACCGGCATCGATTCGTCCAGAAATAGAAAGAGGATTCTGCACACTGCCACGGAAGACGTCGCCAATCGTCATCCGCAAAGGCTTGTCAAGCGCATAGCTGGACGGCTCGGCCGCCTCCAATTCGTCGATCAGTGTCGGACCCGTGTACCATGAGGCATTGGGATCCTCACTGCGTCCAGTGACATTGTCCCCTCGAAAGCCCGAGCAGGGAACAAAGGCAATATTCTTCGCCTGGAACCCAGCAGTCGTCAGGAACGAGGAGATCTGCTGTTCGATCTCCTCAAACCGATCCCGACTCCAGTCCACCGCGTCCATCTTGTTTACGGCGATGATGATCCGTTGAACTCCCATACTCCGCACCAACAGGGCATGCTCCTTGGTCTGGCCCCTCAGTCCGGATTCGAAATTCCCAGTGCTCGAATCAATGACAAGCACGGCAAAATCTGCCTGGCTGGCCCCCGCAATCATGTTTGGCACAAAGTCCCGGTGACCGGGGGCATCCACGATCGTGAAGACCGTCTTGGCCGTCTCAAATTTATTCGTAGCAATGTCGATGGTGACACCGCGCGCTCTCTCCTCCGTGCCCTGATCAAGTACCCAGGCGAGAGCAAAAGACCCCTTTCCGATCTTCTCAGCTTCCCGCTGGTACTTTTCCAGCGTTCGCTGATCAATGGCTTTCAGATCCGCAAGCAAACGGCCCATGAGCGTGCTTTTTCCAGCATCGACATGACCTGAACTAATGTCAGCGCTAGTACAAACGTAATAGTGGGCAGATGCATACTGACCGATGACCGCGAAATTCATCGCTCTTTTGCGCTGAGCTTTACTGTACTCGGACAAAACATCCAGGTTCTTGCTCTTGACATTCACCTTTTCCTCCACACTCAAGTTACTCAAACCACCCGCCAGGTCACCTTGATTCTTCTTGTCGCCCGCCGACTTTGACGCAGGTTGTTTCGACTTGAAGCCTGCCTTTTCATTAGGGGACAATTTTACACCTTTCTCCGAATAGCCAAACCTTTAGCTGAGCTCTGTGCATTGAGAACGACATCATCCGGGCTAGGTCCTGCAAAGTCAAAGGGCTCAGTGAGATCTTGTCCGTAAATCTTCATAAGATCAACAGTATTCGAATGCAAGTGGCTAGGCTTGGTAGACCCCGACCGCGTAGCGTTCCCAACAATGATGCTGGCAAATGTAGACGGCGGTGCACGGATGTCGACCTTGGGCTGCTCCTGTTCCAGTTCGTGGGCCAATGGCTCTTTTGCCGACTGAACTTCCGTCACCTCTGGGCTTTGGGGCTTGCTCGGCTCGGGTGACGGCTTCTTCTCGGTTACCGGCTTTTCCAGACGTGCCCCTCTTCCCAATGTACGAAGAGGCTGCCTAGCATCCGATGGCTTCTGCGTCTTACCACTGCCGGCAAGTCTTTCCCGCAGTGACAGAGACGCTAGTTTCGATTCCACTGGGGGCTTCTCAGGCGTATCAACAACAGCTGGAGTAGACGGCGCCGGTGTGGCTTTGTCACCCTCTTTCTTCTTGCGCGCAGCAGCCAGAGCAGCCAACTTCGACATCTTCCCACTGCTCTCAGGAGCGCCGCCGAGCAACCCAAGCCGAGGATAGAGCGGCTCGATGAGAATCTCAGCCTTGCGGTGCGCAGGGACATTCAGCCATGGTGAGTCACGAAAGAAGTCCCTAGCTGAAAAGTGGGACGACAACGGCGCCGTTGTAGGAGGAAGAGGATATGCCGGCACTGAAAGACCTGTTAGAACATTGAACATTTAAGAGTCCAGAATGGCGTCAGTTGAAGATCGAGCAACATGCAAGGAGGGGAATATATGTATATACTCACTGCCAGTCCCATAACTCCAAAGACACCGAGTGAGGCCCCATTCCACACGGTCGAGGTCGCCCCCAAGCCCAAGCCACACCCAAAGAACAGAGTATACAAAACAAGAAAAGCAAAGAATCGCTCACCTTTCGCCTTCGCTGCCGTAGCAGGAGCAGGAGCAGGAGTATTCTGCTTCTTTTGAATCTCTTTCGCTTTCTTGCCTATCCACCCAAACAACACAGATTTAGCCCACTCTTTCCATCCTCCGCTATCCACCAGAGCAACCCATCCCTACTCACCTCGTAGATAATTGACCGATTTCTCTACATCGTTGTAGTAATGCCACAGCGCCTCCTGGACTTCGTCCCGAGTCGCCGTCACAGAGGGCTCCCCGGAGATCAACTGCGCCAGCACCTCCGCCGTGCATTGCTCGAGGATCTCCTGCTCTTCCGGGTCCGGAGAGTCGTATCCGTCGTCGAAGTCTTCATCATCGTAGTTCACGTTCTTCATGCGGTGCCGCGACATGGTGAATTTTTGGTGTTGGGGGGTTGGGTTCAGGGCGGGGCAGCGGGATGGACTGGACGGAGGGGAGGGGTTGTAGACTTGCACCGTGTAGTTAGTTGGAATTTGGCGCTGAAGCTTGAAAAATGGGAATAGGCAAGTAGCCAAGACTTCCAAATTGCTTGGACTCCAGAAGATACAAAGGGACTCCGTTGGAAGAGCGAAGGAGCTGTATGATTGATGCGGAGGAGACAATGAGAGATTCTCTGGGTTGTTGTGGAGAACAGAAGAGAAGTCGGGATCCTTCACCACGTCATTCCCCGCTGTGCACACTCGAAGAGCAAATGAGTTCTATATTGAAGTGGAAAAGCGAGTATAATCAAATACTACTATCTACAGTTTACAGGTTTGGAATCCAAGCATCTATACAAGTACACTGTCGGGTTTTGTAAGTAAATCTCGCCCTTTTTTATTGGCATTTTAGAACAATTCGAATCTTTGAATATTCTCAAGCTCGATCCCAAAACATATCTAATGGTCTGAATGGGTCCAATACATCAATGTAAATGTCTCTCTCTATTGTATAGCACGATGCTTATCATGCCAGCACCTAGTTTAGCTAGCAATACGTTTCTTCCACAAATGCTTGGCTAGCAATTATTTCAACGGACTCCCACCGAAGAAATCCCCTGTCCCCGGCCCACCGAAGGTGCCATTACTTGGAGTCAGGGCGATTGAGCGCCGGAATGCTTGCCGAGGCGTAGCTGGTGCACTCGTCGTGGCTGCGGCAGCAGCAGCGCCACCAACATCAGGGGTGCTTGGAGTGTTGCGACCGCTATTATTCTGCATTGTCACTGCTGTGCCAGGTCGGGAGAGAACGGTGGCAACGCCATTGCGAGGCGGAGGTCTGAATCCGAGCCTGGAGCCTTCGCGGAATATTTCCTCAAGAATCTGGTTCACGATACCTGCGTCCTCGTATTCCTGGAACTTCTTCCACAGGCGAAGGGCCATGCGCGCATCTTCGACCGAGTCATGGCCCTGGTTGGCGTCCGTTGACTCTTCTTGGATATATTCCTTGAACACAGCCCACGCTAAATACCGGAGGCTGAGACGCCGATTCTTGCCAGGATGGAAGTAGAGATACTGTGTGTCCACCGTTTGATTCTTGGGGACTTGTATGTTGATCTTGCGGAAATCAGAAGCAAGACCATGTCCAACAAAGATGCATCCCAAATTTAGAAGCAGCCATAGTTTCTTGTAAGCCACTTTGAGGGGAACCAGATTGTGTTGACTCGTCCTGGGATCCAGGTCTCCTGGCTTGATCCCTGAATACTGCGTGACGTAGTCAACGATGGGTTCTTTGATGGTGATGTAGTCGTCAATGAAAGGAACCCCTTCATGGATTCCTGATCCCCGAAGAACCGAGACTCGAGCAAGGCCACTTTTATTGGGTCGCACGATTTCCTGAGACCCGTCTGCCTTCACATCGATCTCCGCCTTCTCGAGATCAACGAATTCGGTGTCAAGAGCGACAGGAGTGCCCGGTGTCGGCTTCTCCTCTTCCGTCAGTGTCTGCCGCGATTCAACCGGACGGCCGCCGCTGCAGTTGTCGTCAGTACTGAGATGTCCATGTTCTTGCATAGGATGCTACTTACTTCAACGACCAGTCGCGGAACAGGAGAGTGGTATCCAGGGTATCCTTCCAGGCGTCGTCCACGCCGTGTCGAGCATCCCTGGCTTGATACGCCAGCACACACGGTATCTTCCATGGCTGGTTGAAACGAAGCGCTTCGTCTTTGTCGACTTCCGTGACAAGGAAGTCATTGAACAAATGCCATCGGCTCTTCGACTCCGTCTCGCGAGAAGAGATAGAAACGTTGATGAAAGAAACAAGATGTGCTTTTTGATGTTCAGGAATGTCAATCTCCGCAACCAGACCCACCAAATCATACAGGACGAGGTTGGGCACTTTGTTCTGCACTTGAGCCTTGAGTTCATCTCCTTCATAACACATGACCTGACCCCCTTCAACGACTATTCCAATCTCCTCAGGCAACCAGCCAGGAATCGACCACAGCCTTCGGCAAAGTGGATTGTTGAGAGCTGCGTTGAGGATTAGGACCAGAGGCATCCGATGGACTGTCTTTCTGATGGTTACTTGCTGATAACGTCGGCAGTAGTTACACCATCCTCTGTTCTGCGTTTCCCGTTCAATACTAGCACGCAGAATATTCGAGAACTTGAATGCTGGATTTCTGCGAGCTTGTTTGATATCAATGGCGGGATAAATGAGCTCATTGGCGAGGGAATTTCCAGGTCTGACGATCTCGTTCTGACAGAACATGCATCGAATAGATTCAGACGCAATAGTCGCAAGCCTATGATCTAGGTCGTCGGAGCTTGGAAGAATCATGCGGAAATCGTGAGCGATTTGGTTAAGGAAAAATCTGTTCACAGATTGAATAGCGGAGGAAAGTGATTTTGTGGTCAAATTCTCCTCGAGGAGGCCAAGGTTCGAAGCCTCCCGGTAGCTGCTGAAGGCTTTCAACAGATTTGTAGCTTGGCAATTTTGGCCATTGGCTTTCTCAAGCATATCGAAAAGGTACCCCATTTCACAAAGAAGACAGGTCTCGTATATACAGGTACTCGCCGCATGGTGAAGAGCGAGGTTCCGCACGAGAGGAATGAATTTGAGGAGTTGGAGGAGAGCATTGGTGAAGGAGTTTGCGATGTGTGTCTCCAGCCCGGAAAATATGGTCTGGTTGTAGAATCTATTCAGGAATGTATTAGCCTCCAATGCAATCACAACCCGATGATCGTGCGTTTCTTACCTGAAATCGAAATCGTCGACACCAAATCGACTGTACTTGATTTCGACGTTGCTGTACTTGAGAAGTGGGTCATCCTCAGCTTCCCCATTGAGCTTCGCACCTGCGAGAGCCTCCGCCGTGTCGCTAACAGACCCTTCTGATTTAGCCCTCGTTTGCTCTCTAGCCTTCTCACTTAGAAATTTCGGCGCGATTAGAGCAGATTCGGCAGTGGTCAACGCACGCGTATTTTCGACCTGATACCGTCGTGTCTTCTTCGGATTTGGCGCATAATGACCCATCTCAGCAGGTCGAAGATAGGGAATCAGGCTCTGGTCGATTGAAGCTGGGGGGTTGCCAACTTCGAAAACTAGGTGACTGGGCCACGCAGAAAAGAGCCGTTCGTGATAGTACGGCATCCCGATCATATTTAACGGCGTATCCGGGGACCAGTCAAGGGAAGGGGGTCTGGGAACAACATCCGCAAACTCGACTTCCTTGCTCATTTCATTGAAATGGACTTTCGAGGGCGAGCCCCACAGGTGAATAGCACATTCAGCATCATTAATAGCCAAAGCCTCTCCAGAAGGCGAGATGTCGATTCCGAGCATGAATGATACGTTCGCCTGGCGGAGATTGATGGCATTCGGATTCATCAGGTCGACCACTTGAAGCTGTCCAGTCTGGGAAGCCACAAAGCTGGTCGTATGTAGCTTCGGGTGCATGCGCACATAGGCAGCCCCAGCATGAAAAGGAATAGGCGGTAATGGGGAGAGTGTCTTCAAATCGTAGACATTGGCCAAGGGATCGACGATTGGAGAACCCAGATGCCTAACCGAGAAGCCGCAGGTGACCAACAAATCATTACGAGCATCCATATCATTAATTGCCGTCCCATGTGCCTTCCAAGATTTCACCACCTGGAAATCCGACAGACTCAACGCGTTGACCGATCCAGTATCCGTGGCGGCACAGAGATATCGACTCTTCTTCATCATAGTGTAATTGTGATCAGTTTGCAGCTTGTCGACTATAACCCCCTTATCGATATCAATCGTAAACATCGCACTCTGGCATCCAGCAACGATAATCCTGTTCAGCTGCGCCGTAAAACTCATGCAGTGGAGATCCGTCATTTCCTCGTGAGCGATGTGCCATTGCGAAAGCCCACGTCGCGTAATCATATGCACGCTCTTCGGCGACAGCGAAATCACACCCCTCTCATGAAACAGAATCTGTCTGACAGGACCGTCAGATACCGGGTGGGCGCGAACAGACGTATACCGCTGCAACTCGGGACCGTAGAATGAGGTGATTCGGCCCTACCCAATGCAGGGTTCAGTCAATCAGCATTTCCCACCATTGAAGTAGTACCAATCGACACGCCGCACTCACAAATTCATTACCGGCCCACAGCAATTCGGAGACATCGTCGAATGCTATCGTCGTCGCGATAGTCGGCAAGCCGTGCGAGCTCGGAGCAGGCACGGGAATGCGCGACAATTCATCCCAATCGGCCTCCATCGCCTAAGCATCCCACTTGGGCGGGCACACGATCACAGATATCCGTAGTTCGATTAGGAAGAGAGCGTATGTGATTTAGAGAATGAAACGGTTACGCCCATCTAGGAGCAGGGCGAACCTAGACATCGTTTGGTGGAGGCGCGATTGCGGGGAAGCTGACTCTGAGACACCGTTTTTCGTTCGAGTTTGTAGCACCGGGATGGACTCTTGAGGGGATAGTAGGTGTCAATTGCAAAGCACCAGTTTTATTGATACGCCATCTTGATAGAGTGAATGGAAGAGGATGAGGGAATGTATACTTAATAGCGTCTTAGGCATCTATGTCAATGAAAGGGCAACAAATACATGATGATGTGCGGATATGGTATCACGTGAAAAAGCTTCAGGTTGTAGAGAATCCCGATTCGGGTTAGTGCTCTACCAACGGTTTTCTCAAGGCTGAGTCTGATCCTGAGAATTCAGGCACCTGCAATATATGAGGTGGAGGTGCGTACTCAAAGGGTTGTATTTGACTAGAAGGTACATCAAAATTGATAATACGGGCAATATAACTTCATCAACACCCTTTACTAGATACAGGACAAGGATGTCACTCAAAGTTTGGCCAACATCAAGATATTACCAACAGAATCATGCAACGCAGAGATTTGTCGAAGCGTTTCAATCAAGTACAATGGATGGTGAAGCTGAGGGGGCAGATTAAGATACGCATTGCATTGACCATCAACAGCCAGAACCACCTTCAGCGGTAGAAAGAAGCAGGATTTGAACTGGCGCTAGCTTGTGATGGGTTGTACGCTTGGTACTCGCCTGCGCTGGGCGCGCCTGGTGTCAAAGATGGATACGGCGAAGGTTTTGACGCGCCACCGGGAACCGGAGGAGGCTGATGGGAAGGAGGCGCTTGATGGCCGGCTGGTCCTGTGGGGTAAGGGAGCTGTGATTGCTGGGGCTGGGGAGGAAAGTTGGCGGTCGGAGGGTTAGTTGTATCCTCAGGAGAATAGTTTGAAGGCGAATACTCTTGTTGTTGCTGCTGGAGCTGCTGGTGGACACCGGGTGGGGCTGATGCCCCTGGGGGATACTGGAACCGTTGATTTGCGGGGGGATATTCGACAGGGGAATCATAGACCGAGGTACCTAGTTCTTGTGGGTTGTCATAGGTGGATTCCGGACGATGGTGCATAGGCTGAAAAGATTCTGCTGGTGGCTGCTGCTGCTGCTGCTGCATGGTCGGACCAGCAGGAGGAGTGCGACCGCGCGGATCAGGCGATTGAGAGGTGGGAGGGTACATGTGTGTCTGATCCTGCGGGCGTGGGCTGAAGTATCTTTGAGGATCGGGCTGCGGTGCACCTTGTGGGTATCCATGAGGCCCTGTCGGTGCAGGATATCCATAAGGGGGCTGGCCCGGTCGGGCATACTGCGGCTGTGGGGGATGCGACATGGATGCTTCCAAGAGAGATTCATAATCTCGCCTAGCTTTAATGAACTTTTCGTTGAGTTGTGTGAACTCATCTAGACATAAATGAGCAAGGGTAATCCGAAAAAAGATTGGGGGTAGCATACCTTTCTTCTGGGAGTACTTCCCAATGAGCTCAATCAGCTTAGGCCTAATGGCCAGAGTCGAATGATAGAGCGCTGTTATCTCCTCGTTATCCTGCACATTCAATTCTGAGCTGCGTGTACTCAGAAGCGTCAGAAGCTTCTCGACGTTTTTGATCTGACCAAAGACATCTGCCTCCATCTGGGCTTCTCGCTGCAACTCTTCCACCGTCGGATCCGGCAGTTTCTCTACGTAGTTGAGGGGGAAAATTCCAGTTTGTCCTCGCAGCGAACCCTTCCACCAATCCTTGTACACAGACTCGAGCACAGCAATGATGTCTCCCTTGCGGAATTGGAGTTCACCGGGCTCGGAGGGCTGGAAGTCAAATAGTGCTCGGACCCGGGAAACGGTAGCAGCGGAAGTACCTGACGGCACCGCCTGCGGTGCAGCTGCTTGTGTCTGGCTAACTGGGGCGGACGCAGGTGCACTGGATTCTGCTTGTGGTGCAGGGCCCGCGTCAGACTTTTCTCTTATCGAGAGAGCCAATGCCATCTGCAATTCCTCTTCTTCCTTCTGCCGATCCGCCTGGGTGATTTCCTTCTTGACGGGTTTCGATGGGGGCTGGAGATTGGGATCTAAACGACAGGTTTCAGTCTTTGCTCTGGAAGCCGGTGACGCCGATGTCATGGCTTACTCTGGGTCTTCAATTTCATATAGGCCTGCTCCATGATTCCGAAGTCCGGGTTACTGGAAAACATGCGAGTCCAGTCATGCATACGCTCCAGGATCTTCGATTTGACCTGCTGATGGGTATTCTAGAAGAGTTCGCATCAGCATAAATCCCACTCAAACAGCACCATATGGCTCTCACCCGATCATTTGCTAATCGAAGAAGGGCATCTGTAAAGCTTCTCGACGCAAGTTCTCGATGAATCTTCGGGCCGCAATTCTGCGCCAACGCATTCGCCAGCTATACAAACGACCCCGAAGTTAGAACATAGGTCGCAACCCTTCGTGTGTTCGCGGGGGTCAGCGCGCAAACCTCCAGAGTATACAACTGCACATTGGCATTCCGGTGCGCCAGTCTTTTGATCATCGCAGCCACCGCATCTTTGGCACTAGAATAACGATATGATCTTAGCCATCGACTTGTCCCTTTCATCTCGTGCAAAGCAACGCCATGGGGCGGTCTTACCCTGACTCCTCAGCAGCAACCTTATCGCAAACATCCTATTCGCCCCCGTAATACCAGCATTAGCTCAGTCTTCTCGACAAGCACGCAGGTTCAAAAACTGATGGAGGCTGTTGGCATACGAGGATATATTCCCAATTCTCCGAAGTCAGGTTCTCGTCCGTCGCCTTGGCTGCCCAAGTAACAGCCCGTTAGTCGATCATCCAGGACACCAGACAACACAGACCCAACATTATTCAGCTTAGGGGGCAAGTAAACTAACCGACTGCATCGTCGAAGGCGTTCTGTTGCGCGCGAAACATATTTCCTGCCGTTGGTCCGTTACCCAGCGCAGGCAGAACAATTGAGAGTGTCGAAGATGGAAACTAGTCCTCCGCAGCCGATCAGAATAGCAATCCACCAAACGGTCGCAGAGATCGAAATATGGTTGCAATGTATTCAGACGTCGAAATAAAACAATCCTTGTAGTCTAATTAAAGCCGCAATCGTCCAGTGAACCCCGCTCAATCTGTGTGAGTCGCGAAGTAGCTATGTGAGATAGTACTCCGGGGGGAGGGGGTTGTTAATGACCGCTAATCCTGAGAGTGTGGGGGTAGCCGATTCGGTCGCGGGTTTAGAAGGTCTGTTTGACTTGAGTCAGAAATGGTGCGACGGTAGTTGATGGGAAATACAGAATGCGAGTATAGGTAAGTTGAACTTTCACCAGAGCAGAAACACCAGGTAAAAGAGAGTGAACAGTGATCAGGACGATCGGGTAAAGGCTGCAACTTTGATGCGAAACAGGTGATGACGGTCCGCAGGGCAGTGCCTGTGAAGCTGACTTGGATCTCCACCCTGAGTAAGCAGACAGCTTCCAGATATGACGATGCCTAAACACTCTTCTATAGAGTAAAGAGCCCTTGTAGATAGGTACAGTGGATAGCTGTTGATTGTATTGAAGATGATTTCATGAGCATTCACAATTAGTGTATTTTTGAATATACTCCGTATCTCTCAAAATTAAGGATTATATACATGAGCACCACCATCATCAAGATCGCCACCCTTTGGCGGTCACCTATCAACTGCTCAGATCCAATAGGCATGTTCACTAAGATAGCGCCTCAATTGGAAATCAATAGAGGATAGTACACGGTGGCCAGCATATTCTCCTGCATCAGAATCATGAACGAAGAATTTGTACACTCTTTTTTCTTTGCTTGGCCCACCATTTGATTGTGTTAGAATAGCTCCTCGTAGAAAACCAGAGGAGATGCAAGGAAATAGACATCCATAGTCATCCTACATAGATCGAAGCATGGTATAAAAGTATCAGAACAAGAAAAAATCATTGCTCAGGGATTAAATATTCCGAGCATAAGCAAGCATCTCGATGGTCTAACAGACCTAGGTCGAGGTCAAAGAGAAAAGCAAGACCGGGGGAATAGACGTGGGAAGGCGGGAAGAGGGGTGACGGACGGACATGAAAAACGAAATGCAGTCAAGTCATTGCCATCTATGACATCCAAGCTCAGAAGGAATGTGGACGAAAGGCCATGAGAACAGTCTGCCATTATGCAGTACCAGCATATCATAATGCAACAAAACAGGGAAACATCAGGAGCAATGGGTATCTAGGGAGAGGAGACAAAGACATCGACACATATGGAAAGATATTTAAATGGGAAGAAATCAAGGGCCCCCCTTCTGAGCCTTTTCTTGAGCTCTGCTCATCCGCGCAGCTTTCACAAGCGGAGATAGGTGGGACAGTGGGGCGCAAAGGGACATGAATGGATGCTAAATTGTCAGGTTAGTTGGGGTTCTCAAAAGTGACAGTCTGATGGGCCTAGAAGAAACTTACCATCAGCAAGTCATGAGCTGACGCTCTCTTCTCAGGATCGACCTTGAGGGCGAGGTGCAAGAAATCGCGGAAAATTGGCGACAGATTGTGCTCGTCTTTGATGGTGGGAGTGCCGTTGGTAGCAATCAGGTACAGAGCCCGTAGTGGAGATTCCGTCAGATACGGGGGCTCGCCTTCAATCATTTCAATGGCCATGATTCCCAAACTCCAGATGTCGACCTTCCGGCCGTACTCCTTTCTTGTAACGACCTCAGGTGCCATCCAGTATGGGGTGCCAACCATGGTATTGCGTTTGTTGTGCGAGTCATTTATCTGGGCGCAGAAACCAAAATCGGCTATGCATTGTTAGCAGGGGATATAGCAGGAGAAAAGGGTAAGTCGACGTACTTAATTTGATGTTGCCATCCAATGAGAGCAGGATATTGTCTGATTTGATATCACGGTGGATAACACCCTTGGAATGAAGGTGTTGCAGTCCGCTCAGAGTCTAGAAATCGGATTAGAGTCACGTCACAGGCCTCGGGCATCATTGCGTAGCTTACCTCTCTGCACACAGCGGCAATCTGGCCCTCGGTCATGATGTTGAAAGTGACAACATCAGTGAGACTCCCACCCTCCATGTATTCCATTACCACCCACAGATCCAAACCATGAAGATAGCTATCGAGGAAGTTCACGATATTCTTGTGCTTACTATCCTTCATTACGAGAATCTCATTAATGATCAAATCCTTCTTCGGTTGCAAGTCCAGGTTCATTTGCTTGATAGCAACACAGTTGTTTGTTCCGTGTTGATACGCGGTGTACACACCGCCAGATGCTCCTTGGCCGATCTTATTGAGGTTGTAGTAGATCTTTGTAGGATCACCCGGAGTGCAGATGGCAAGTAAGCGTGCCCTGACATCCATGGCGTTACTCTGACGAGCACGTTGTCGAGGACGAGCCGCGGGGACGGCTTGTGCCTTTTGAGGGACCGGATATGCGGTTGTGGGATCCGCGGCATGCTGCAAATTTCCAGGCTGGGTGGCCTGCTTGGGTTCCGTAGCTCGTGCCTGCTGCTGCTGCTGCTGTTGCTGCTGGCGCTGGCTTCGGCTACGCTCCAGCTGCTTTTGAACAAGTGCTTGTTGAGCTGCTGCCATTGCTTGCTCCTGTTGTTGCTGATACTGGACTGATGAAGGAATCGGGTTTGGTTGCGGCCAATGTGGCTGCCCACCACTGGTCTTGGAGTTCGACCTACTGAGCTGCGGGTCTGCTGGTAAAATTTCCGTCTCCGGGATCGAGGGAGTGACAAATTGATTCGTATAGACCTCCTGGGGAGGTGACCGTGTGACCGGAGGCTGCGGCGCCGCCCGAGCGGGTGTCATACCAACTGGTGTGGGAGGCTTCGGGGGCGCTCTGTTGGGGACAAGACCACCAATTGGCGGTGACATCGTCGGAGTGGCTGTTGGGGCACTCCGCGGGATGGGGGGAGGTGCACGCGGGTTTTCGAAACTACCTTCGTGATTCTGTGGGAATCGAGGACTCGTGGGAGGGGAGGATCGCTGGGGCGTCGGGGTATTTGCGGCTGGCTGATGGTGTGGATAAGCGTGGTCGAACTTATGCCATACCTCATCATCTCCACGAGCATTCTTCTCGTAGAACCGCATGATATCAACCATTGTCTGGGGGTGTTCCTCCTGCTCCTTTTTCGAGATGCCGTTTTCTTGCAACAGCCGCTGCCACTCCTTTGGCAAGCCGGTGAACTGGCCGGTCTGATTATCGTAACCGACATGGGTTACATGGACGGGATTCTCTGGGGCGGAGATCTTGATACCCCGCGGTGATCCTAACATGCTGTTGACAAAGCTGGAGAAGCTGCTCTTCTTACTGCGTGTTGCGGATACCTTCGGTCCATTTGCCTCGTCCGAGTACCTTTTTGTGGTGGTCGACTGGTCATGGTCGGACCTTTGGGTAAAGGCATCCATCCGGTTCTGTAGAGCGGTGAAACTGGCCGACTGCCGGAGTCCGCGAGAGTCAGGGCTGGTGTGATAGGAACGTAGTGTCGGAGGTTTGGCGGGGACGACCTTGTCAGATTCTGCGGTGTTCTCTTCTAATGCACTGAGCATACCCCGCGAATCAAACGGGGAGTTTGTCAATTCATCTGAGCTCGGGTCGGTGGTGAATGAAAACCTTCCAGGACGGGACTTGGCAGAGCTGTAGGAGGTGGGGAAGTAGTTGGATTCACCGCCAGCAAGCACAGGGGACGGACCCCCACTGTGCTGCTCGAGAGAGGACGAGGAGGAGCCGTATGCGTTGGATCTCGTACGGGAATGTTCTCGACTTCCGCTGGCAGAGGAACGCGGATAGACAGGCGCCGAGGGGTGTCGTTTGAGTGACGTGTTGCTCTGCTGGCTTCTGAGGATGCGGGAGGAGAAGCTTGGGGGATCTTTGTGAAGCTTGCTAGACGTCCGTCTGAATTTTAGGGAAGAAAAAGTGTCGTGGCTCATGGCGTACAAGTTATCGGGGTATGAGGAGGGAGGTTCGACAGGTTGGTGGGTATAAGTGACAATGGTTGGTGCGATGGGAAGGTTAGGTTATGCTTCGAATGGCTCAATTGGGGGGTGGAAGAAGGTGGGGGAAAGCCACCAGGTGAGGCGGTGCTCCTGGCTATCCCAACCGTATCTCTTAGTTGAACTGAAGAATGGATGAGGATGATATCTGTAAGAAAGGACGGGGGGAAGAAGAGGTATCGTGACGTTCGATGATGGATGATGGACGGGGCTTCTTTTTTTCTTTTTTTCTTTTTTTCTTCTTTTTTTCGGGCGAAATAAGACGGGAAAAAAAATAGAAATTAAAAAAAGAGAACCGGAAAATGTCGTTGTTACTTGCACAAGTCGAACAAATCGCGGGACGGAGGGAAAATCCAGACAGACGGACACAGCGAGAGGATAGGATGACAAGACGCGAGAGAGGAAAGCGGCCGCGGAATTACCGTAAGTTGTCAGCAGCAGAACCAGCGGTTAAGCACGTGGAGAACCGGTGGATAAGTCACAATTCAAAGTCCAGCATAAGATTATAGTCGCAAAGAAACGACGGACAGGCGGTGACTTTGGGAGGCTAGTTTGGTAGATAGATAGATACTAGACAGTTGACGACTTTTGACTTTTTTTTTTTTTTTGACAGAGGATGGCAGGAAGCAGATGATACGGTATGGGAAGGTGATATGGGAAAAAGCAATTCGAGTGTGAGAGAGAATAAAAACCAGCAGGTTGCAGGAGGAATCAATGCATCGACCCAACAGCTCAGCACACCGATCTGCAAGTTAGATGGGTACAAAGGGGGGGGGAAAGTTTGGGAGAAGGACAGAGGGGGGAATGGGGAGATTAGGGGAGGAAAAGAGAGAGAGAGAGAGTGTGTGTGTGTGTGTGTGGGAACAGAAGGGAAGAATCAATCCAACGAAGATGCTGTGACAGGGGATAGACTGAGGGAGCGATGATACGGAGCAGTTCCAGCCAGATGATGGATGACCTGTGTGTATCGAGGTCTAACGGACCGACTAACAGGGATAGGAATTACTGTAGGAATAATGAACTATCTACTCCGTACGGAGTACTAGATAGACGACTAAACGGAGAATTATTATGATGATTGAGTTAGATTGGCGATTTGATTACCAGGAAGAGAAGACTGGAGCAAGTCGGCGTCACAGCAAGCCAACAGTCCATGGATAAGACTTCTGCCATCCCTTAACTAGGTACTAACTAACTAGTTATGTCCAGCAGTAGTATCTAATTAAACATAAGGTTATATTTTGATAGCAATGACAATAATGATCTGTTTCATGAGATCCTTCATTCTTTCCTGCGATCCTTAGGTATCTCTATCTCTATGGGGGATGGCATAGTGGGGGGAGAAATCCGATCGACTTATTAGCTATATCCAGCTGCTATTAAAGGTTCAATTTCCTTCTCACATAAGGAAGTACCTTACCAAGTGACTGGTCCTGGATGTGATGACGATGATGGAGATTGCAATCCGAAGCCGTTGTCAGCCACATCCTTCACTTGTCGAAGGAGACGGGAACACTTGGCTCAATGGTCAATATCTTCTCACTAATTCATTATCTCTCTTTATCTTCTCCAGAAGTAGACATTACTGCAACAGTCATATTAATATTATTAGATACTCTCTGGAGTACCGTAAGCCATGGTCATTCCACATGTACTTTTGTTCCCACCATTTAAAAGGGGGTTGCTGCTGGACATCAGATTCAGATTGCTGATATCACCCTTAGACGGGGTGATGTCCCATTCTTCTTGCCTGAAAAGGACGTTTGGTTGGAGGGCTGGGCATAAAAGCCACCAGAGGTCTGCTACCCCACCTTCTGGCCAGAAAGGACGGGATAATCAAAGAAGACTCCAGTCTCAACCGTCAAGACTCAAGGAATCAATCTCCTCTGTGATAAATGCTGCTTGTTCCTAAATAAAAAAAAAAAAAAAAATGGCAAGAGAACTCTGCTATTCACAATGGAAAGTCAAGTACCTCAAGTAAGGGTCCCAGTATTGACCCTGCTTAACGAGATTTGGCGTCATATCTGGGGGCAGGAGACATGGCTCTCTCTCAAGGACAGGACACAATAGAATTCTTCCAGAATCATGGGAGAGGAACTTTATTTTGATTCCAAATCATACCAATAATAATTATAATAATATATAATAATAATAATACAACATAATATGAACTAATTCATAGCTAAGAGGTATCAGGTTAGGCTTGATGATGGGGATGAGGAATTCCTTGTTATCATCATCATTATTATTATTATTATTATTGTTGTTGTTGTTAATCTTCTGACCATCCGAAACAGACGATGTCGTCGGCGGCGCCACTCACTCCTAAGCAATTACAATTTGATTCACGATTTTGACGGATATCGGAAGGCTACTCCATAGTCCGTAGTCTACAAAGTACTATCCAGTCGAATTCGGGTCTCGGACTGCTTCCTCAAGTGTAAACGCTGATCAACTGGTTAGTATCATATCAAACAAGCAAAATATCAGAAACACCCCCCCCCCAAGCGATAGATATCTACTATCTCTCTATCTACCGACTACCAGCTATGAAACAGCCACCTTCTTCAATCTCTGAATGTTTTCCCTCCACTGTACAATCAAACTTCGTCAGAATTCAAACCATCCTGTAAAACGTAATCTCAGGTGCTCAGACCTCTTTGCGCCGCCGTCCATCAACCGTTCCTCTTCCCTTTTATGTGCGAGGGCGTCTCTGGTAGTCTGGTGGCTCTTCTTGATCGAGGCAGGTAAGCAGTCAAATAATGGACAGCCTCGCACACAGCCTTACATCCTGCAGGTACACTACTGTTTTGAATCGTCCGGGTGTGGAAGAACACTTTCCCTCCCCCCTGCACTTATTTGCTTGTGGTGGATTGTAGGTCACACTTACACATGTGTTTCGTTCAAATTCGTCCTTCTCTGCAGCAGAGTCAGCTCGACACCTCGGATCATCCTTGTCCGCAGCAGCTGTGACATATCATCACTCCAGTGAGGGGTGATGCTACCCAATCCTCCGTATTGCCGGGGTACTTTGTGCATCACAAATTTCCCAAGGCGGATGTATTGCGACTATCTAACGCCTCATCCTTGCATTCGCTTTTCTCTCAGGCTCTCTCCCTCTCTCTCTCTCTCTCTTCGCTCCACGGGGCATCAATTACGCTAATTCCAGCATCGATATTGTGCAATCGATATTTCCCACCGCCTTGGATTGATGCTGACCATCCCACATCATGCAACCAAGCCTATCCGCCAGGTTGTAGAAGAATCCAGGACATACTTACATCTGTGCAGGTACTAGGACAAACGGTCGCGACCACTGGCTCAATTCGCTGTGAAGGCAACAGCCCGCTGGCTGTCAGACCTTGGACATAAGGGACTAGACTGTCGCTCAAAACCCGACGGCCAGTTATTGGTTGATATGTCACTTTTGTGTCAGTTATCGGTACCCAGCGCCCAAATGCTGTGATATCTCTCGATTCGATCAGAGTTTTCTCGGCAAGCAGGGACCGATAAATGGTGGAAGATTCTCGTCAAGCGGTGCAGGCGCCCCAAGCCAATATTAAGCATCTTCACTGTATGTCCCTATCTTATGGGGAGCCATCCGTTTATTATTTTGCCTGCTATTCAAGGATCATTGAATCTTCAAATTCCAGCTGAGACTGATTACTGCATTCTCGGCTGCTATGAGTTGATGGCCGCGTACCAATCTCTTGACATCGATCGATCCATGCCGACAGGAAGTCAGAAAGACTCGCTGCGAGTGTATAATGAGATTGATCATCCCATGGCTCCCATTTCAAATCGATTGCGATGATACCAGAAAGGAAGTTATCCTGAGGTCTTCCTACTTGCTACGGAGCTGCTATTGGGGAGCAGGCTGCAGCCACCCCAGATTGCCCCTATTCCCACAACTCAGAATTGACTGTTCCTACCATAGTGGCAATGGTCATCTCACACTACGTGATATTCTTGGCCATATTAGATGAAGAGAACTCATTTTGACTACTAGCCCCTATGCACCCAGTTGCTGGCAATCGATCCTAAAGTGGTATACCGACTGGAAATAATGCTATCGAAGCACTTTCGAACAGGCATATCCAGTGCATTCACTATCAGATCAGGAGTGCCTCGGATTTTAGGAGCTCATGAGCCCTGTTGCGGACTGTCTTCTGGGCCACAGTTGAGGTCAACTTCTGATAAAACTATATATATCTCATTTCCTTAAGTTTTCGCCGGGCGAGCGTCTATCGAGACTATCTGCGGCCCGAGGCAGTAATCTCTTCGTTTGCCTACACAAAACTGACTGCGAATGGACCCTCTCGCATTAGTATACCACCGGCGGCATTGAGTCGATACAGTTGGTCATTCTATCCTAGGTTCGTATGAAATCGAGGGCTGAGCAAGGCATGCTGGGCGTTCAAGGCTTTCTTCGGCAATTTCACCACAGACCCAAGATTGGTTTTATGCCATCTCCAATGATCTAAAGAAAGTAGGGTGATCCTTAGTCAAGCGAGTGCTTGCTATGCGAGCACTCGATAGGGCATCAAGACCGATTTCTCCATATCCTGGTTCATGGTCCTGGAAAGCCAGCAGGCTTGGCTTAGAAGGGGGGGGGGAATCATTCATGGTACATTCAAGAGATGGATTACAGAAATTCTTGAGAGTGGTCGGGTGTGTATGTAGAGAGGAGAACACTGTGTTCTGTTTCATCTCCAGGGCTGACAGTTCCCTCAGCCTTTTAAGCTTCTGGGCCGCCCCGGGCCTTGCTTACTCTCAAATACCATCTTTCAAGAAGGCTTCAAGCCCTTACGCATTTCTAAATGCTCGCGAGCTTGCTCAGACATTTGGATTGGTAGGCTTGGCCTAAGACTTTCAAGTCCTACCTTGAAGGAGTAACTGTACTGATACAAGCACTAAGTAGTATTTCGCCTCATCCTTACCATAAAGGGGGATTGTCATCCTTTCGAGATGAGGACCGCGATCTAGGAGCAAGGAGCCTCAGATGGTGCTCATCACTCTAATGAACTTCTATACACTCAGGTATGTGATCGCAACAATGTCCTCGAGTGCAGAATCTCGTGCGAGATCAATGTCGCGTGAGGAAGTAAGGAAACTCGCCTCACTTGGTGGCGGACACAGACTGAAAGTCAGGGATTGACATTGGGATACTCTAGATAGACTATGCAATATAAATATAGATCGAGTATCACTATCGAGATCGAGGGTCGATTGTTGATCTCAACGGCTGTCAATCAATCAGCGGAGACGCCGGAGAGTTGTTATATAAACTCCACTGCCCCGTTCCCCATCCTCCATTCAACCATGTTTCTTCGCATCATAATCTCAGCCTGCCGTCGGCAAACAGCTTGAGCAGCGAAACATGATATTATATCTAGACCTACATTTAGCTACACGTCGGATTCCAGACCATGTTATATGCATCTAGCTTTTATCTTACACTTTTCCTTCATAGCATTTGCCTATGTTCTTGGCAGGAGTATCGACCTACCGAGTAGTAGATAACTAACTACTTAGACTTCTTTGGGGGGGGGGGGGGGTGTGAGAGCCTCA